GCTTTGGATAACACAAATTATTTGCTGGCCTGACTCTCAAGGTCCCCAGTGGAGTCGCCAAGCTGTCATAACGTCTAGATCCGGGGATCTATCGCCAGACATTGACTTTAGGGAGTCGCCACCAATCTTTTTTATCCATGTGTGATTGGCCACCTAAGGAATCTGCCCTTTTAGGGAACACCTAAGCTTAAGGGTCCCTAAAAGAATAGGTTCGGGTCTGCTTAACCAGAACAGAGTTCGGGAGTTCGGTTACGTGTGAGGAAGGTTATAGCACCCTCACAACGCCCATCAAAGATGGTACCAGCTTGAATTTGTGTTATCCAAAAGCCTTAAAATTTTACCAAGTAGTTAGTTGTTGAAAATTATTCTCAATTGACTCTAATACTTTTAGCAGAAAATTGAGAAAATTCCCTCACCTCAAGAGTATACAAGAAAAACTACTGTTTCACTTGCAGAGGCTCCGTCGTCGGATTATTTAAAGAAAAATCAAGATCAACCAATTAATTAATTATCGAAAATTATTCTCAATTGACTCTAATACTTTTAGCAGAAAATTGAGAAAATTCCCTCACCTCAGGAGTATGCAAGAAAAACTACTGTTTCACTTGCAGAGGCTCCGTCGTCGGATTAATTAAAGAAAAATCAAGATCAACCAATTAATTAATTATCGAAAATTATTCTCAATTGACTCTAATACTTTTAGCAGAAAATTGAGAAAATTCCCTCACCTCAGGAGTATGCAAGAAAAACTACTGTTTCACTTGCAGAGGCTCCGTCGTCGGATTAATTAAAGAAAAAAAAATCAAAATCAGCCAAGTAATTAATTATCGGAAATTATTCTCAATTGACTCTAATACTTTTAGCAGAAAATTGAGAAAATTCCCTCACCTCAGGAGTATGCAAGAAAAACTACTGTTTTTACTTGTAGAGGCTCCGTCGTCGGATTAATTAAAGAATAAAGAAAAAAAAATCAAGATCAAAATCAAAGTCAAATAAAAAAAAATTCAAAAAAAAAAAAAAAAAAAAAAAAACCTGGAGCGGCTCGGATCGCGGCTCGGCTTGGTGCGGCTCGGCTCGGCTCGGAGGGGCTGAAACGCGCGGGTCAGAAAGCGGGTCGACGCTTCGGGTCGGGTCGGGTTCGGCAAAACGCGCGGATCCTCTTATTAACTTAAAGCCAAAACGACGTCGTTTTGGGAGGGTATAAAAGGCACCTTCCTCCGTTTTTCAGCAGACCGTTCCTCCCCTCTCTCTCTCTTCTTCCCTTCTTCTCTGCCTTCTCTCTAGAATTTGAAGAACGCCGGTGCCGAATTCTGGAAAATTCGCCGGAATCTGGGAATTTCGCCGGAAATTGGCCGGAAGTTGGCCGGATGGTCGTCGGTTTCTGGGATTCTCCGCCGGAAACTGGGTCTGTCGCCGGAAACTTCAAAGTTCGCCGGAATTGTCACCGAAAAATTCAAAAGTCGCCGGAATTTTCGCCGGAATCTGGAAATTTCCCAGAAATTTCCAGAAAATTTTTTCGCCAAATTTTTCTAAAAAATTTTTCTCACTGCCAGAACACTCCTAAACTTTTCCTTAGCTCTCTAAACACCCCTATTCTCTCAATCAGTAGCTTTTGCTTCTGTTTTCTCTGTGTCTTGACTGTTCCAGGGGGTCCCTTTTATAGGATTGATCAGGAGTTTCTGATCAATCCCAATTCCTCTTTGGACGGGAATTCAGTCTTTGAATCCAATTGGACTCTTCTGATTGAATTCCCCTTCAGAGTGGGAGTCTTCAACTTTGAATCCTAGCCCTCCAAAATAAAAATTAAAATAAAATTAAAAAAAATCTAGATAATTGGAAAGATAAATCAAAAGATAAAAAATTTTCAAATAATATCTGAAAATCAGAAAAAATCAGAACAGATAATTAAAAAAAAAAGATAAGAATAATAATATAATAATAATAAATATATAACTATATACATATAAATCTATTCTAATGAAAAAAAAAATATATATATATATACATATATTAATACATAATAATAAATAATAAAATACACAAGAGAGAGAAAAAAAAATAAAATAAAAATAAAAAATAAAAAAATACGGGTAAAAATTCAATTGGGCCTTGCCCATTTGGGCCAGGCCCAAATGATCTGGGTCAGGCCCAATTGATCCGGGTCAGGCCCAATTGATCCGGGCCCGGACCTGATTGGGTGTCTACACACGTAATAAAACTTAAATATTACAAAATTAAGGCCTTATTGGCTAATTCAACTTCAATTTTAGGCAAGATTGAGTTGGTTTCTATTAAGAAGATAATATTTACCACATGCTTATTTACTTCTTTTGATATTAATATCCAAATTTAATTATTCCAATGTTATCAAATTAAAAAGTTGGTTTGTTTAGAAATTAAATTTGAATGTTAAAAACATCCCTTTATACTTTCTTTTATTTTCTTTAGAAATTAATTTTTTTTTTAAATTAATTGCATTCTTCTTTTTATAAAAATAAAGTTATCAAATATCTTTTATATCAATTAATATATTATTAGAATTAATATTTTAAAATTATAAATTTAAAAAAATTTATGTGTAATATCTTTTTCAATTAAGTAAATAATAAGATAAAAAATATTTAACGATAGATCAAGAATTTAAAAAAAAATTTTGAGCAAATTTGATAGCCACATTGGATTGGAACAAAAGTGAAGATGATTTTGTGCTAATTACATGTCCATAGTTTTCCAACCCAATCCCAATCATGTCAAAAGAAAATTGGGTTCCTAAGAATCAATGAACAATCAACATTTCTCATTTCAAACAGACTGAAAAGGGACAAAGGGGTCAACCCTTACTAACACTCCTATAATTGATGTTGTGTTGTCCGAGGGCCAATACTTGACACTGCCTGTACAACTGGTTTGTCGTCGATAGCTTTTAAATGTGTTTTTTTTTATTAATTTTGAATTAAATTAATTATTTTATTTTATTTTTATTAATCAAATTGAATAAGTTAATTTTAAATTATATTTTATTTTAATTTTTTCCATTTAAAATAAATTAAATATAATCATTTAACATAATATAAGTCAATTGAAAAGTTGCTGTCCCCTAATCCATGAGACAGAGATGAAAGATTCATTAATACTATTTCATTGTTCTCTAATTTGTCTTTCTCGAAAGGGAAGCTCTGATATTCCTCTTTCGAAATCTATGCCACTGTTGTGACTCGTGAGCATTATACTTGTACTTAGACGTTTGGGTGGGCTTGCATTACACCGAATTTGGATTGTTTTGGATCTGAATTATTTTATGTTTCGATAATTGTCTGAATTAATTATATCGAATTTGAGTAGGGATGAGAAAAAAATAAAAAAATTTAAAATTAATTTAAAATTATAATATTTGATTTAATTCGAATCATTTTTATATTTAATTTGAATTAAATTTAAATATTAAATATATATTAAATTCAGATCGAATTTCAGATCGAGATGTAAAAAATTAAAAAAATTAAATTATATATTTTTATTAATTTTTATATATTTTTTAAATTTTTATAAAAAATAATTATTTTATATATAAATTTAAATATATTAAAAATCTTATTGAACTAATATATATGTAAATTTTAAAATTTAATGATAAATTAAATCAGTAAAATTCGATTAGGATCGGATTGATTTTAAGAAAAAATCAGTTTAAATTTGAATTGAACTTTAAAATTTTATAATATTATACATTATATAAAAAAAATCAAATCAAATTCGATTTGATCTGAATTGTTATCACTTTTTTAAATCAATTTCGAGGTTGAGCTAGAATAGAATTGGTAATTGAATGTTTAATTAAATACTGGTTAATTTCACTTGTTAGTCTTGAGTTCAAATTATTATAAGTTTGGATTGGATCAGTCTTATATTCGGGTAATTTATGATCTGAATTTCTTCGAATGAGTTTTTTCATACATGTTTTTTCAGATTCGAGTTTTTTCATACATTTTTTTTTTCAAGTTGGAATTCATTTGATCGCCAATAACACTTAGGTCACTGAAAAGTTATAAAGGTTTCTTAGATTGAACAACTCCATATTCTAATATTGGGTTGGGCTTGATGCAGAAAATCAATGACAAATGATTCAACCTGCTAATAAAGGCTTCTTAGTTGGTTAATATTTGCTGAAAATTTTAAAGTTGGAATCTGGGGCACCATTGGTGCAAATATCTTCAGATGCAGTATGACAATCTTCACGATATGAAAGTCATCGACATAGACATGTTGAAGATCAAACCATAGCTGTTTCCGATGTGACATTATATTTCTGTGGCTCTTAAAGAGACATCCATGATTTGTTGATAAGTTGCAAGGCAAGTGAAAAGAAGTCCCCGAGAAACATGTTTTTGTATGAAATATCCTTTGATTATAACTTGGGTTTTTGGCATCTCAGTTCTCAGCATTAAGAGAAAGTGGACAAAACTGATGGAACCAATTCAATTGGACTATATAAAGTTACCATTAGATCATACTTTTATTTAGCATAGACAACTTCAACAAGCCAATTCCAGGACAAATTTTCCCCTACCTTGCTTGGAAGAATGTGGAAGCTCCCCTGCAAATTGGATCCTCTGTCAATCACAAGAAGAAGACCCTTCGGCTGTGAAGCAAATTCCAGGCTCAGTTGCTAGTAGTCTTGTACATTAGATAATTGTTGATGGTGAGATTTCTCAATGCGAAAAAACATGTTCACACATTCAAGCAAAGTAGCAATCATATGACACAGAGTTTTGACCATTAATATGCAGGGGAAGCTAATCAATTTTGTGGACAAAAGATTGGCAAGAATACTATTTTTGACACAATCTTATGCAAAAACTAGGAACTGCTGTTCTTTTCAATATGTTCTGCATTTCTATGTACAGGGGAATAAAATTGATTTAGAAATTTTGGTCGGATTGATTCCATATAACCCAACCGACCCACCAAAGGGTCCACCATCAAAGATACTTACATGACGAGTTATGCATGATATCCACCTCATTGATACAACTTTCAAGTATACATTGCCATATGAGCTCTAGCATTCCTTTGTCTCCTTGCTACCAACGGGTCCCTAGATCACAAGGTTAGCCTAAGAAGCTGGAAATGTCAGATATGCAATTTTAGTGACATATGATCTATAATTTACATCAACTGCACAGTGTGGCAGGGCAAAGTATACTGTACAGGGGCCATGGCCATCCGGGAGGAACAATGTTGTGATCATAGTTATTCCCAACCCATCAACAGCTTCCATACTCCTTCCTCAACCTGTCTTCTTGGAAGAGATAAGCTAGCCCCTTCATCTAGTAGAACTCTGTAAACTTCCCACTCTCGATCTCCAATCATGTGTCTCGCAATCTCGGCCTGAAAAATATGGCGCAGCCAAAAATGTTACGTGCAATTTGCAAAAGAAAAACTGAAACATCAATTGACTCCAAATAAATTAGTGTTTTATTCTGATCAAGAAGTATAATACATGTGATAAGTTGGATTCATGTTTGGACAGACAGGTAGCATATCAGAAAAAGTGTACCATTTCCTACAACTAAATAAGCCATGGCAAAGAGGAGTAAAAGAGAAAGCACACATGCATATCACTGCATTCTCACAATCCGCTAACTAGGAATTGGAACTCCATTATCAAATTATGAAATTGCTGCATAAATATATATTGTAGACTAGATATGGAAAACATGAAGCCACATGAGATCAACTCTAGTGCACTGCTAAGTTCATAATCCCAATGATGCAAGCTATGCATTTATTTACATGGGAAAAGAAAATACCGGAAAGCATAGCAAAAGTTGAATAGAAGCTTATATATCTCAGAGCTAAGGAAGTACCGAGAAGATGCAAATGTTAAGCATCTTTAGAGCGAGGGTAATGTCAAAAAAAACAAGAGGCCGGCCCTTGCTTGATAACTCTACAGGATTTGCAACCAGAAGCTCCGTATCAGGACCCCGGCTCACTACAGTGACTCTGAGTGGTTGGAGCAGTTCCATCTGCAGACGCGAGGACAATGCACTTTGCTTGCTAGGATCAACTATCTTCTTCCCATCAGCTTGCATTATAAACAAGTCAATCTCACACTTTCTTCCTTGTTTTATATAGATGCGTCCATATGAAATCTAGTTACATTACGAAATTGTGGCATTAAAATGATGGAACTAGTGTTCAGTTTCGTGCGCTAAGAATGCTTCTCTTCCCAACTGAAAATTAAACAGGTAAAAAGATGCTTCCACAATTTTGAGAGGAATCATGCCTATCATGATTGATAGATACACATTATAATACTGAATATTGACAATAGAAACGTAGCAAGAGTGATTTTATCAATTCATGGGGGTGGGGGACTTAGCAACACATATAACTGAAGTACAGCCACATGAAAATGGCAGAAGAATCAAGACCAATAGAATGGTCAAGAGTTTCACATATCAAAATTTTCAAACAAGTATAGATATATTCAAGAGAGCATAACAGCAATATTATAAATAATTCAAGCTAGAATGATCTTAAAACCAACCTTCCTAGACATAATTCAAGCTAGAATGTCCATGATTAACTACAGCATACAACTTTCTTAAAATTTCAATAAAACATTGATTATTATATAGTAGTTAGTCTATATACCTGAATGTTGTAATCCTTCAGAGTTCTCATTATGTCATACAGAAGACCTTTATGATCTTGGCAAACGATCTGAACAAGCGTGTGAGCAGGACTGAGTGAGTTGTCCATTATGACAGAAACATTGTTGGAAGTGAGTGATACACTTGGGAGTTCATTGGACATCTCTAAGTGGAAAATATCTTCTGTTATTGCAGATGGGAGAAATGGAGATGCCTGAGAACATGCAGTAATTTCAGGTCCAACCTTTTCAATATTACAGCTAATCATAGCATCCTGCATAACATCTTCCAACGCTTTATAAGTCTCCTCCTGCCTCTTTGTTGTATGTAATAGTTCCCTGGAAAAAGAAAAACAAAATCAAAATATTAACAAAGGATGTTACTTTCTGAAAATTAAGAAGTATGTAAACAAGATGTTGTTCCTTTAGAAAAGGTGGAGATGCAAGATGCCTCAGCTTATCAGAGTTATACTTACAATAACCTATAATATCCTTTTAAAACCAATTTCAATCTACAAAACATTGCCCTATCAGAGAATATATATATATATATATATATATATATATATATTCTTGTCTACATTAATTCAGCTCTGAACCCCTTAACGCTTTTTCCCAAATGGAATTTTAAGAAGAATATTCTTATAGACATACATATGAAGTTTGAATAGAAGACAACATAAACCTCTACTTAGATGTACATGCTGTGATGATTCCAGAAACATTTGCGGTCATTTCAAAAAAGCCTAACTGATCCTAGCTAAGGGACATAATACACAAAAGTAGTTTTCAGAGATTATGAAAAGCATAGAATATGATTTGGAGATATCATATCAAAGAAACAAAACCTGGTATCTGTAACAAAGAATAGGTCCATCACTGTTCCATCCGGAGTTGTCGATACCTTCACTTTCTTTATATTTAGTTCCAGACTACACAAAACTTCTGTCACATCTGCCAAGAAAAAAATCTAAAATTCATTCACTAATACAGTTTGGACCACATTTTAGTGCTAAAATTCTTCAGAAAAAGACCCTATCATGAAGAAATGTCATAAGTGGGAAAGCAAAACATAACCATTTCTTAATGCCTATATGATAGCTGAACTAATAGGGGAAAAAAGAGAAGCTGAATTTGTAAAATTCAATATTATGTTAATTTTGCCAAAAAAAAGAAGAACCCTAAAAAGAATTTTCTAAAAGGATAAATCCCCTTGACTTATAAAAAAATCATTCAAATCAATAACAAAACTTCATAGGAATTGAAACCACACCAAGATGTTCTCAAAAGAAGAAGAAGAAGAAGAAGAAGAAAAAGTTTACCATGTAAAAGGCCTTTTCTATCATAACAAGAAAGCTTGAGGAGAAACACATCAGGGGGCTTTGAAGGCTGCAATTCAGAACGGTAATAAGAAATCCCAGAAGCTGAAGAGCATGAAGGGCAAGCCCCAATTAGTCTTTTCTTCAACAATTCCCATCTCGAAGAATACCATCTTGTTGTTGGCTTACAAACAACCCAAAACACTATGTAACACCATTTCCCATCTGTAGATAAATCTTCACAACACAAACCAAAATCATTTTAGAAATAATAATAATAAAGACCATAAAAGTCTAAATTATGTTACCAAAATTAAGTCAAATTATCAAACTTTTCATAGCTTCTCAAGTGCCCATCATTTGCATCACTTAACTGAAGATTTATATTATCACTTATGACTTCAAATAGCCCAAAAATGAAAAACTTGAAAGATCAAAGTTGCCAACTTTTTTTTTATTCAAGTTAAACCAAGATCTCAAATTTTTCATAGCTTGTTTCACATGCATGATGCATCAAATTGGGTTGGCTTCTAAACAGCCAAAAACACAGAACTAGAAAGATAAAAATTCCAGCTTTATCTTATTGTCAAAGAAAAAAGTCAATAGCTACAAATACAAGCAATCATTTTTTTAAAAAGGAAAAGAAAATTTGGGGTTACCTCCTCTAACAATGCTAAGACCAAAATAGAGCAAGATGCGGCATAAATCACAGCCTAAACCAGTTTTATCGGGGCAGTTAATAGTGATAACACTTGGCTCTCCTTCTTTCTCTGATTGCTTTATGATCACAACGTCGTCATGTAGAATACCCATATCTTTCTTCTTCTTCTTCTTCAAAGCTTGAAAAAACGGCGAAAGACTTCTGCTTTAAGTTTTTGGGTTGGTTCGGTCTGTTCTTTGCTTTAATGGGTTGTTGTTGTTCTGCTGTCGTGAGGAGTAAAGAAGAGCAGTAGCGTCGTGGAGACAGCTAAAAAGGTGGAGCGAAACATAAAAGAAAAGCCAAGCAGAGAGGGAGACCGAGAAAGTCGGTCTTTTGCGGCACTTATAGATCTTGTTTACTAGTCTATTCCTTCTCTCTCTTCTATTCTCCCTTTCTTTTGCCCCTCATTTTCAAAATTATACTGTATTTTTTCCCGTTGATTTCATTTTTTCTTTGGTTTATTTCTCTTATCATCATCACTAATCATAGGGTTTGTCCTGAATTCCTCTATCTCCCTGTTTCACTTTTTTAATTTCCTTTATATGGACTTGGGTAGTTTCCTTGAATCTTCGTTGATGGAGGCGAGCTTGGAAGAATTATTAAAGAATCTGTCGTTGACATAAGATTCAAGGACAAGATCTTGGATGTTAAGTCTTAGGAGATGAATTAATTAATTCTCATGATTATCATCATTACAGTGGGAAAAAAATTTGTTATTGCATATTTCATCTCAGCATGACAATAAAATGTCAAAAGAAATTGTAATTCTCAAATTTTAGCATTTTCTATAGCAAAACAATCCCCAGCCACATATTTCTTATCCCTCTTTTCTGTATTACTTCTATTTTTTCTTTCATTTTCAAACCAACAGAAAAACAGTATGGGACCCTTATCCTTGTTTTTTCCAAAGAGTGTTACGTAGCAGTGACAGGCTGCTGCATTATTGAACATTTTTAATCTTCAAAAAAATAATAAATAAAATAAATTTTCTAATTTTAATTCATTTGTTTACTACAAAAGTCTCATTTAAGCAAACTGTCTGGGAATACAAGGAAAAAAAGGCCTGTCTCATGCAAGTACAACAAAACAAACGGTAGGCATGAAGCCACGAATCACTTCAGTTTAGCATATTTATATTATTTGGGGTGATAAAGACCCAAACCCATATAATGTGTTTGTCGTTGTTGTTGTTGGTCGTCATGGCTTTGATGTCCACTTTGATGAAGGTAAGGATTGGGACAGGCTAACCAGTGGAAATGAAAAGAAATTTGTGTGCACACAAATGGAAGAAGATGGTGCTCACATTTTGACGCCATGCTTTTCTTTTCCCTCACATTACTCAAACATTGGACCAATTGAAGAGAACCAGCTTTGAATTGGAATTTGGATTAAAACTTTTCAATGCTAGAAAATGATCCAGGCACCTCTTAGAATTAAGAGCCATTGCTTAATTTTATGTTGGCAATATCTGAATCATAATTTTTATGTCATGATAGAGTATTAAACTTGAATGGTATATCTGTAGATTTTTTTTTTTATCGTTTTTAATAATATTTAAGTGAGATTTATGGAAAGTGTTTGTAAGTATTTAATTTTGAACAAAATTATCAACAATTGCATAATTTATTGATAAAATGTTATATTTTTAATTTTAATAATCATAATTCAAAATTTAACAACTTTAATTAAAGAAAAGCAATTGGATAAAGAAAGGTGAGCAAATTGAGAAATAAAAAATTGTGGGATTGTGAATTTTAGTGGGAAGTGTGGGACAAAGGAGAATCTAAAGGCAGTCGGTGGACAAGGATTCCCATTGAACTTTCGGGGAAGTTGCATTTAGATACTTTATTTGTTCTTCCTATTCAATAAATTATGTTATTGTTTTGTGTTAATGTGAACTAAGATTTCCTTCGGACCAAATAACATGGAAAGGAGAGCAAAGACAAAGGGTACATGACATAGGCTTCGTGATGCCATTTATTCTAAGATCTTATGTAAGATTTTTAATTAACTAAAAACTTAATTGGCCAACACCCAAATTAATTCGTATTATCATAAATAATGTTTTTTCCGCTATTTAATAATAATACAAGAATTATTGGACTGTATTTATTATTCCCAAGTTTCCCTTAGCAGCTAAGTAACTAATACAAATATTGTTTGACTGGATTGACTCTTTTTTGAGGCATTTTCTTTGTGTTTCCTTCTTCTTACAGCAATATCTAGGTTGTCTCATAATATAGCTTTTGTTTTTGCTTACCTATCCCCATGGGTTTGCTAAGTTTTTCTTAAATTCAAAGTCAAAACATGTCACATGATTCTAGCTCATGGCCACTTGAACAACTGTGTCTTTAACAGTGAATCAAACTCCTTTTTCTTGTTTTTTTCACTCCATATTTTGCAAATATAAAATCTAAAAATTATATGAATATACCTAATAATCTCAAATATTATATGATAATATAATATAAAAATAATATAATTTAAAATTTTAATAAAAATTATAAATAAATTTAATAAAATAAATTATTAATATTAATTATAATACGTAATTTTTATATAAAATATAATATAAATATATAAATCATTAATATTTTATATAATATCAACATACAAATTACTAAATCTAATTTTAAATTTACATATTCAATTGTGTGATAGTTTGAATTTGAGCAAGTTTCAATTCAAATTTTTTTCCTAATTTATGTTTCATAAAATTGTTATGATACCAAGTATTAGCCCACAATTAAACTATTATTCTTGTCTTCAGCCAAAAAAAAAAAAAAAAACAAAGACCAAAACGAGGAAGCATATTTAATTATTTTCTCACACGAAAAAAGTCCTCATAGAATCGGTACGGTAGATTCGATTATTTATTGAAAGGGAAAGATTGAAGAAAAAAGACACGAGAGTTCATAAATTGTTTTCGACTTTCGGTTGGAAGAAAACGCGTCAAAATCCAAACATCTTAACCAAAAGAAAGGGGGACAACTGTCTTTTTTTTTTTTTTTTTTTTCTTCCTTTCCTCGAATGATTTTGTCAAATGGAGGATTTTTTTTTTTTTTGCATGAAAAAAATGATCAGGTGTGGAAAATCTTGATGCTGAATAGGTAATAAACTCGTAGTTAGAGATAATAATAAGTTGGACCGAAATAAATTTTTATTTATTTTGAATTTAATTTAATTTTATAAATTTAATATTTAAATTTAATTTGATTTAATATTAAAATATTAATTTTATATCTTAATCGACTCAACTTTCATATGTTTAAATTCATAATCACTTTGATTTGATTTAAAATTCATAAAATATTAATTTTTTAATATAAATATAAAATTAAATAACTAATAAAAATAATATATATATAAAGGCAGAACAAATTTTTATCAAAATTCAATTCAACCTTGATTTTTTTTTTAAATATTCAACTGACACGAACCCTAATTTAAAAAAATTTTAACTTTTATAAAATCGAATTGAGTTGAAACTTGATAAATACAAACCAGCTCGTGGTGGACCATTGACAAGAGTGATGATGCGGAAACTTGGGCTCTGGGCTAATAGACCAGGCAACAGACAGACTTAGTCCCCTCCCCTTTCTACTTGTTGCCCTCCTAGACTTGGACTGACCGTTGGGAGAGGATTAGAATAAAATTTTCTTTTCTTTTAAAGGTTTTTTTGGTCAAGACTTAAAGGTTTCACAAAGGCTTAGATAATTGAAACATTCTTATAGTAACAACATCAAATTTTGAGCTTCCCATACTTTCCTATGTTTCGATGATACTGATACGTGAAAAGATATAGAGAGACATGATTATGATGCACATTCCCCAAAAGAAAAGGGCCAGGGCCATTAACCAACCATGCCCAAAATACTAAAAGTGAAAACAAGTTTGGTAGAAACCAGAACGGTAATATATTTGCCTGTTCCATCTCCAATGGAGTAGACATTATCATTCAGAATTCAGATATTTTAACTTTTAAAACAGAGTGTAAATGGGTAAATGGTTGAGGGCAATAAGATGATATGCTTTTGATTCCTTCTCAGCGAGAATGAATTCTAATAGATGATGATGCACTCGCCCCCTTGCAAGGGATATCAGTGCAGCGACAAACGGGTCTGCCAGAAGCCTCCCAGCCATTGAAACCGCGTTCCAAAACCAAAATGTTCTTGATCCCGGCATCTTCTTTCATCTCCTCTAGATAATTGGCTAACCTCCATGCACAAGTTGGGCCACGAACCTACAAAGGCATCCGCATCATATTCAGTGTTGTACAGATCCATTTCATGGAAAGGAACCAATCAATATTTAAGCATCCAGCATCTTCTTATAGGAACCCAGATGATAAATGAAATGGGTGAGAAGAAGAGAATAATTTAAATGCATCACGCAGCCCAGTTATGTAAGCTTCCAATATTATGCAGACATATGAAGAATCAATGCGATGGCATCAAAAGCATGTGCCTAAGAAAGTAATAATACCTTATTGATCGACTTCTATGAATGATTGACTGTACGTGAGATGGAAGAGTCAAGTAAGAACAGTTTCATTTAGCAAGAAAATGAAAAACCCTTCCAGTTTAAAGAAGCTCAACACTGTCAAAGAATGGTGATGAAACTAATTACAAACTAAGAGAACTGCTTGAGTAAATTGTGTTTAGCGGGGTATTCTGGCTACTTAACTGTCAAACAAACAAAAGCTGTAGTTCTAAAAGACTCAAAAAATTTCAAACAACGAAAGAATCCATCTATGCAGGGTAATAGGAAACAGCTTTAAGCTCAAGCATAGGGCACTTAGTTATCTGCCACCATAGAAAAAGCAATAAGCAAAAAGAACGGTCCAGACTCCAGAGAATAAAATTCTTTTCCGAAGGAACCATGGCAGGCATACACCAAACCAAAATACAAGCAGGTGATGCTTGAGCCTTGAAGAGCAACTGTGGAGAGACCATAGATAATTCAATTATACATAGATTTATACATGAATTTTAGTCAATGCTGATGAACCACCTAGTCGATCTATGAGACTTTGCGAAACAAAAAGATATACTTTCCATAAAGAAGGAATCATAGTTATACCAATCCAAGCCTAAAACATCAGTCTAATGTCGACACTATCATCCTGAAGGAGGTAAGAACTATGGCAAACAATCTAAAATGTTGACTTGGAAGTTTCAAGACAAGATATAAGTCCAACCCACGGAATTAGAACATGTAATTTCCAATTGCAATAAACAAATCTACCTGCAGACACGAATATGAATTTCCCAATCTATCAAGGCATACACAAATATTGTTTGCCAAAGAAGCATAGGCCACTCAACCACCCCTACAATCTCCAAACCTCAATTTTTGCTATAGAAAATTCTACCATCTCTCTTCCATCTAAAAGCAATACATTCAATAAAACAAACTAGACAGGTAAAAAGTAAAAACCCAATAGGGAAAAAAGGAAGTAATAAAAATACAAAAAAAAAAAAAAAGGAGAGGAGATTTCCAGCAGAAAAGCAAGAAGAAAGTACCTGGCTTAAAGCACAATGGAAAACAAGAGTATCTTTGCCTTTGACATCTTGAATAAGATTGGTGATCTTATCAGTGAAAGTGCCACTGGCATAGTGAAAAGACCCAGCTATATGCCCATCATAACTCCTTTCATCATCCCTTAAATTAACAAATTCCCACAAAAAGGAAAAAACCCAAAATAAATATCTTTCCAAATAATCAAACAAAACTAAAAATACCATAAAAAACACATGGAAATTCCAAAAAAAAAAAACAAAAACAAAAAGAAGTGAACCTGACATCTATGATGGCAATATTTGGACGGCGTTGAAGGGAAAGGAGTTGAGAACCAGTTATGTAGGAGATGGTTTGAGCCATTCGCTTTGCCAGACTCTTTGCTGGGTCACTTGCTCTCTTTGTTCTTGTCCGGAAGAGAACCAAGATTGAGTTTTCTTCAGATTTGTTTGGAACTGCAGAATCCGATCGTGTAAAAGTAAGGGACGGCTTCTGAACTATGGCTTTGGTTGTTGGATTTCCGCGAATCTTGGTCCTACGCTTTGTTTGGCTAACCTTCTATTAAAAAATTATTTGATGATTTTACTTTTATTTTTGGGAAAAGAAATTCATAAATAAAAAAGAAAAGCCTTTTTTTTCTTATAAATAAATGTTTAAAAATATTTAATACTTGATTTTCTACTGTTTAGTTGATAGTAATCTAATCTATGGAATCTATTAAAAATATTATTATAAACAAATAAAATTATGTTTAATTATTATTCATGTAATTTATTTTTAATCTTGAAAAAAATTAAAAATACATTCAAATGAATATCAAACATCACTTGTATTTTAAATATATATTTGGGAGATTGAATTTATAAATTGTGAAAATAAAATGTATACATTATGTATAAACTAATTAAAATTTAATTTTTATAAATAAGGTATTATTTATTTTATAAAAAATTATTTTTTATACAATCATATGTTTGAATAATAGAAATGACCTTATTTTTTTATTTTTTATTAATATTAGATTTTTTAAAAAATAAAAATTTAAAGTCAATACTAAGCAAAGTCCAATTTAATAATTAATGCATGATACTCTAAATTCTAATCACCTTATTTTCAACTGAAAAAAAAGTATAGTAAATTTTTATTTTTTCTTCAAGGCTTTTAATTATATCTTAAAAGTTAAAATATAAACTAACTATTAATAATTTTTTTTATAATTATGCTTATTTTAAATTACAATTTTAAAATTAAAATGAAATTGACTCGGGGTTGGGTATCCAAAACTGGTCACTGTTGATTCACAAGTTTTTACTGCCTTTTTTTTTTTTTTTTTTCTGTGGCTGCCCTTATGAATAATGAATGATGATCATCATATTCTTACTCTCAAACCTTGACCTATCAAGAAGAAGTGCCCCTAACTTTCATGGCAATCACTCATTTCAGACACTGAAATTCAATCAAATTTTATTATATTAAAAAAGGAAAGGAGTAAGAAAAAAAAAAAAAAACTTGTGGGATCCATCTTAAGATAAAATTATTTCACAAGAGAAGTAAAAACTTTAAGTGAACTGTTATAAAGTTCACTAGCTCCAACACTCTGGGGTTAAGGCATGATTCCTTTTGGGGTCCCTGCAATAGTTATAGACCATATGGTATCTTTGAACCCATCTCATTGCTCTATGTTGCTGCCTGGTTAACCCACCGGACCGGAAAGGCGAGGCGGAGACTGGCCGGCACCGAGCCGGCGAATAGGCGGAGCAACCATCTGCTTTGAAATTGGTGAACTTTGCAACAAATGGTTGGTATTTATAATCAGCTTTGTATTTTCCATCTTCAGTTGCCCATGATGAGGCATCCCATATTGAACCATAAACCCACATTGGCCTTAGAGGAAATGTTTCAGCACTCTTCCTTGGATACCTCCTTATGGGCACATCATCCACTAGGAATCTGATATAAATATCAGATAAATCAATTAATAGCATACATTCAAACATCTTAGACAAAGGGGAAAAAAATGTTGGTGTTTCATTTAAGGTCTTAATTCTTTTTGGTACTTGAAGGTCGTCCGAATTTAAATCCTGGTCTTTAAAACTAACTACTCTACGAACAGATCATGCAGCTGTTTAGCTTCTAAATCATATATCATTCTTATTTCAATATTAATTCAAGGCAGAGTTTAGTTTGAGCATAAGGTCCATAACCAAGGTTTCACCATTGGCTGATTTTTCAAGATACTTACATGATCTCCTTAGGACTCCAAAAAATGGCATAGTGATGAAAATCTTGGGTTGGATCAAACCAAAGATGAAACTTCATTTCCCTTCCAATGATTTTGCCATCACCACTCCCTCTAATATACACGTTGGTCTGTAAAGTATAAGGTTTCCCAAATGTAGTTCCAAGGAACTCTATGTCCACTTCATCATGGAATCCTGGATGAGCTTCATTGTTTGATAGCTGCCATTTTCACGATCATTTGTTGATTAGCAAGCAGAAGGAAAACCATAGTTTCAAGCAGCTTTACAATAGAGCATATTGATTATTGAATTAGAACCGTGCATTAAGAAAGAAATGTAGTGACAAATTCTAGGTTAGTTCAATTCTCACATAGAAAGCTGTTATGACCCCTGCTGTGTAACCAGGTTGAACCTTAACAGAGACTCCAAAGTAACCAGAACGAAAAGGACGAACTGACTTGAATCCACTTCCTGTTAACCAAATACAAGCAATAAAATGAGGGAAAAAGATCAGATTGAATATTCCGACCATATTAAAACAAAAAAAGACAGACCTGAGGTTCTGTCAAGCCAGATTGTTAGTGCATTTTGGTCTAAACTTTGATGGCCAGGACCCCAAAGATTTCTAAACCCGTTATAAAAGCTCATAGGCCTAAATTTAGAGCTTGGCCAGTAGCCAGGAGAAGGTGGCCAGTCAGCATTGGTTGAATGAAACAACAGAATGAGAAGAAGTGAGAGAAAGAGAGCCATGAAGAATGAAGAGGGAAAGCAAAAATGAGAGAAAGAAACTCAATGGGAAAAGAGAAGAATGATTGGGAGTATATAAATGCTGGGATGTGTTACTTGTGAGAGAGAGAGAGAAAGCAATGGGACAAGGTGTCCATGGTGGAAGAGTATGGCAGTAAAGTTTGATATAAAAAAAACACAAAAAACAGATTTCTCATAAATATGGATATTCATATGGTACCGGAAATTATAGTCCCTGGTAAAAAGTAGAAAGTACATACAAACCTTTTTTTCCCCAACCGCAACCACTTTCCTCCCATTCTTTATGAGAAAACCTGTTTGCTTGGCTTGACACGGTTGAAAAGCTAAGAAAAGAGATCAGATGCAGAAATGGTAGATGGGTATCTCTTAAATGTGTTTTTTTTTTTTTTTTTGTCTCCAACAGGAACTCATGCATCTGTCTCTCAGCCTTTAAAACATACATTTTTTTTTTTGTGAAAAAAATTTTGAAAGTAGATAAATTATTCAGTCTTCGGATCAAAATAAGATGTATTGTATCTAACGGTCTAAGACAGGTGACTATAAGTCATGCATTCGAGATAATACCGATAAATGATCACCAATAAAATTCAAACCTAATATCTCTTCATAAAAATTAACGAGTTTAATCGAATGAACCAATTAATTATTAATAACTTATATTATTATATTAACCCAAATGCTTGTTTTTTTTTTACCATTCCTCTCTTTTAGTGTGCAGGCTCTAGCCATGGAGGTTTTGGCTGTGGTTCACATCATGATTTTCAGTCAATTTTGTGAATGAAAATGTGAGTAACGGTGCTTTTTTAACCTCTGAACTTCTTAAATGGAGTGGGTCATCAGCTACCCTGTCTGGGGCCTTATGTTCGATTTTGATTATACTTGTAATTGATTGAGAAGTCAGGTTTCTGAATTACTGATTGGTTTTTCCATATAAACTTCAGCTAAGTATACTTATCTATAATGAAATCTGTAATTTGTTGCAATAAAAAAACAATTAAATCAGATGATACTGGCCATCCTTTCTAGATCTGTCATTTTCCAGCTAGTATTCATGGTACTATGTTTCGATGTTTATAGATCATAGATGTCAATGAAAAACATAGCAACCGACTCCTTATCTGCCTAAATTGATTGATAATGAAACTGTTTTCTGATTCTCCTACAATGTTTTTTGTGTTTTTAAATGAGATCTCATAAAGAAAAGTTACGATTTTTATTTTTTATTTTTTTTGCAATTAAAACAGCAAGACATAAATTTGGTCATCCCAAGTGGACGCAGGAAGACTTGGCTACGGATCAAAGCCATTCTTTACTAATCGATGTTGATTCAATTAGCAAAAGAGTTTCTTTCAGAGTAAGTGGGAAAATAATTTTTAATGAATTTATAAAATTTAATATAAATAAATTTATTTAGATTATTAAAAAAAATTATACTAAACAAAATATAAAAATTTTTTCCCATTCAATAAAAAAAAAAAAAACAATTGTGGAGGCGTTATTTCATGGTCATAATTTTTTAGAAAAAAGAATGCTCCAAAATGAACATCTCAAATTCGAAGGACAATTTCTAGTTAAAGAAGACAACAGGTTGAATTTTTATTTATTTTAATTCTGATATGATTTTATAAAAAAAATATATGATTCTAATTTGATATTAAAATATTATTTTTTATATAAAATTTGAATATATATAAAACATAATTTATTCAATTTGAAATTAATTTAATATAATATTTATAAAATATTATTTTTAATATAAATTATATTTCAATTATATAAAAATAATCTTTTTATTAAATTAACATCTTAAATTAAAATATTACATAATAATTTTATTAATATAATAAATATAAATAAAAAAATTAAATAAAAAATTATAAATTATAAATTATAAATTTATCATGTAGACAAATATATCTACAACCAAATCTTAACTTAAAAAAAAAAAACAACCCAACCTAAAATCTAATTAAAAAATTATTTTATAAAATTGGATTAGATCAAAATTCGATGAGTTAGGGTATATATACCTATTCCTAATAGCCATAAAAAAAAAATTAAAACGAAAACATTGGACAAAATCATCTGCCACTGTAGTGTCGGTAATAGGCAGAGAGAGACGGATTAATTGGGACAGATGGCAATGGGATTGGGACCAATTTTCACCGACAAAGTCTAGGATGCTTATGTACGACGTAAGGGCATTTTTTATCATAAATTTAAAGGAACTTTGGATAAGTTTGATTCCATCGGCTCTCTTTTTCAGTATGTCTATTTCACCGAACAGATTTTGGTATCATTTGATTATGACTTTGGTAACAATTTTTCATTACAAACCCTTAGTTAAAAAGTTAAATTTAAATACAAAAAAAAAGCCAAAAAGAAAACTTTTTTTGAAGATTTGTTATAAATTTTGCAGGCCCCACCAATATATTCCTCTCCCTCATGTTTAAATTTAGGGTTTTCAAAAAGCTTGAATTTTAATTATTAAAATTTTCATATAATAAAAAAGTTTATATTAATATATTATCAATATATACATTTTATATATTATTAATAAATTAAATAATATTATTTTATTAATAAATAAATATCAATTTTTAAAATAAATATATATAAATTAATATTTTAAAAAAAATTATTTATTAATGAGATAATTTTATTGATTCATTTCATTAATAAAATGATATAATCACATTAATTGATAATATATAAAATTAAATATAAACTTATAATAAAAATAATGAAAATGCCATCTATAGTAAAAGAGGTACAATGCAAGGGCAAGACAATCAAGTATGTGCCAAAAGTGGTAAGAGATCCAAAGCTTTTCTTGTATTCCTTTTTTTTTTTTTTTTTAATTATTAAAGTGCTTTGTGAAATGACATTGAAGAGGAAGAATATATTGCCATAGACTAGACATATCTCATGGCTAACAGTCCCAATAATTTCTAGATGACCCTTTTTTTATTATTATTTTAATACTAGCATAAAATTCTAGAGCACTTACTTTGATCTAAATTATACATAATATATATATATATATATATTGAGTAGTTATACTGTCATTTCTAGAGATGTTTAATTTTTTTTTCCTCTTTTGATCTCATAATTGATTTAATTTTTTAATAATAAGATATATAAAACATTAAAATTCAATTAATTTATATAATTATTCTTAAAAATAAATATTCGATAAATTTAAAAATTGTTTCTTAATATTTGTAATTTATTTTTTTACTTTTAAATTATAATTTTCTTTATTAAAAAAACTTCAACTATGAAAAATATTAAAATGATCAAACATGGTTACATTACATTATATTATATTGTATTTTATATAAGATAGCTAGCTGAATAATGCAAAAAAGGTAGTGTCATAGTGTCACATGATAGGTAAGGGTTGAATCTAACAATAATTGGGTAAATGACAAGAAAAATAAAGTATATATATGCATATTGATTATATATGCAAGTTATGATATATATATATATATATATATATAGAGGATAGGATAATGAATAGTTCAATAAATGATATGCCAAAAAAAAAAAAAAAAACTGTAAATGATTGAAAACTTCTCTCTCATTTTTCAAGTCTATCTGAATTATAGAAGAAGAAGAAGAAGAAGAAGAAAAAGAAGAAATGCCTTAGCCGACACTTAACATTTTCCTTTATGGCAACTTTAAAGTCACTAGGGTTGAACTCAATTACTATAAGTTATAATTAACTTAAAATGAAAATTTATACTATGAATCAGTCAAAATGCTTAAAAATGATTTACATAACTAACTTAAAAATATTAAATTTCAACATATATATATTTTTAGTCTCAAACTATCATCTTTATGATAAAAAATAATTGTCCCTGAACTCACAGATAACACATCTAGGCCCTGAACTCACAGACAACACATCTAGGCCCTGAACTCACAGACATCTAGGTATCTGAACTTTTAAGCTACACTGTGAGAAGGATAACTAGCTAGCCTAGCTAGGACGAAGCCCCCACATTGATTCACTGCTTCAGCAAAGAGCATGAAGAGCTATTGAAGAATGAAGAAGTGATCGGTCTTAGTCTGTATAATATTGAATGAAATCTGCGGGTTTTTGCAAAATCTCCAATAATACCCCACATTCTGCTCGAAAAAAATATTTTTTTTGTTATCTCTGAAAGACGAAAGTGTCTGGTTGTTGGAAAAGCATGTACAGCTAAAGTACTACTGGCTTGCTTTCCCCCACACCCACCCAATCCATCTCTCAGCCATGAAGAATTGGTAAAATTTTTTATTAAAAACAGGGAAAATCTTGCTGGTCAATATTTTTATAAATTTGATACTAATATGGGCCAAAATGAAAGAGCATGAGAATCAGTGTGAGTACCAACATGACTGAGCAGGCTTTTTGATTCATGACATAAATAAAATCTAAGTCTGTCCCTTTGTTTTATTTTTTTTATTTTTTTAGTTTCCATTAATGAATCAAATCTTGAAGAAAATGAGATTCGAGTAATCCAAATCTTTACCATTTTGGAATATAATTCATTTTTTTACCATCAAGTCAATCTTAAATGGGCTGTCAGCCAGTCAGTGGCATTGATCTCTGTTTCGAAGCATGGCTGGCTCAATATCTCATTATAAACCATGAAATTTAACCAAGACTATAATATTATGTACAAGGTCCAACCTAAAACAATGAAAATGAGCAACCAAATGACAATATGTTCACATCAAGAGCAACCAAATGACAATATGTTCACATCAAGAGCACCTACTCTTTATCTAAATTGAAAGGAATATTATGTCAGTTTGTGATCGGGGTTTTGTTTTTGGGCAGCTGCTAGCTGGTTCAACCTTCACATTGACATTGGCATTGAATTCTAGGGTTTTCTAAGGAGATACGGAGTTTTTGAGTGGTGAGATTCCAGTTTGGATTGTAGTTGTAAGATTTTTTTTTTTTTTTAAACTAATTTAATAGAGTAAAAGAACAAGATGGTCTATCACGATTCCGATGGTTAATTTCTAGAATTATTTGGTCGGTGATTTGAAGATTCAAAGTAGCGAGGGAGGAAGAAGATATAGAGAAAAAAAAAGAAAAAAAATGTAATTCCATGTAAATAAAAAACTTCATATTAATAATATGGTAACGAAATATTAAATTTATTGTTCGAATTAAATTTTCAAATCTCAATAACTAAAAGAAACTTGATTTGGTCAAATTATTACGTATGTATTACATCATAATTTTGATCAAAATATAAAAATTAATTTCGTAATTTGACCTATAATAAATAAATATAACTATATATACAAGCATATTTAAGTTTTAAATTTGCTATCATATTTAAACCTGACGTGATCATGCGAACTTTTGGACCAGCCCTTCATAATTAACTAATTAAGCTCTCTTTAACAAAATTTGATTAAGATACAAATAAATATATATAACCAATAACCATAAATTAATTAGACTTAAGTTTGAATAATTGTTTATGTGTTGTGTTGATTACAATTTACCAATGGATTTTATTTTTGCGTTCATCCAAAGCAAGTTGAGTTGTTGTAACATAACTTAAACCCCACCCAAAATTAGTTGATTCAATTCTTATCATTTATGAATATAAATTGAAACATTGACATCCATTAAATTTGAAAGCTTACTAAAAAAAGAAAAAAATATTGAAAGCTAATCTAGATTTAATTTAAATGCATATAAGAGCTTTTTTTTTCAACGCATTGGAATTTATATTTTATGAGTAAATGCTTACGAATGAATTAGATCACCCAAAAGAATAAGATAAAGTGGATTAAAAAATTAGTTGGGTGGTCCATTTTCAATTTACCAACTCCCTTAAGTACCATTTTTTATGAGATATCCTTGAATGTTTTATAGGAAAGGAAAAAAAAAAAAAATAATTTAAAATTATAATATTCAGTTTATATGAATTAATTTTTTTATTCGGTTTGAATTAAATTGAATATTAAGTTTGAATCAAGATGTGAAAAATAAAAAAAATTAATTAAATTATATATATTTAAATATTTATAAAATAAAATAATTGTTTTATATATAAATATATTAAAATTTTATTAAAATAATATATAAAAATAAAAAATTTAAATTTAAAAAATTAATAAACCAAATCAAACTAAACCATAAAAAATTGATTAAAATGAAATCAATTTTAAAAAATATTAATTTAAATGCAGATCAAATTTTAAAAAATTATAATACTATATATATTATTGGAAAAAATTAAGCCGAATCCATCTTACCTGAAGTAAAATCACCTCTAGAATGTCCCTCTTTTCTCCAATTAAATAATGCCACGTATCATCAAGTTGGTTGGCCCGGTTTGATCCCATGTTAGCACTACACTATAGATCCCAGATATTCCCAGTTAAAAAGAGACCCTTTTCTTTCATCACCAAAAATTCTCGAATCCCAAAAGGAGATATCTTTTTCTTTACTTAACCAACTCAACAAACACAGAAAGAAAGGCCAAACTCCAAAGCCACCAACTCTTCTTCCACAGTCCACACAGTTCAAAGTTGAAACTACTTTCAAGGTAAAGCCTCCTCCTTTTTCTTCATCAAGATGTTTGTTTTGCTTTCAAAGCTCAGACATTTTGATTTGGGTTTTCTTTTTTTGGCTTAAAATTTTTGTTTTTGATCTTATATCGATTTCCATTCCTGTTCAAAATTCTGGTATTTTGGGTTTGGCTTGTCATCAACTTTGCATAATGGTAATTGCTTTCCTTTTGAGTGTAGTTGGTTCTGTTTCATTGTTCTTGTTTCTGTTTTATTTGGATGGAAAACTATTATATAAGGAGGAAATTGAAACAAAAGAAAGTATACTGAAGTTGTTGCTATGCTGATTAGAACCAATTAACTTGCTTCAATGTGTTTTAGGAACTGAGTAGGTTTGTTTTGAGGTTGTCAGAGTCGAGAAAATTCTGAGAAAGTTAATGCTATTTATGTTCTTGCATTGTGTAATTTGGTCTGGGTATTAGAAAGTGAAAATTAGAAGCTTTGCGTTGAGGTTATTAGAGTCAGAAGATTCTGGTAAAGTTAATGTTATTTATGTTGTTCCATTGTGTAATTTGGTAATTGGTATATTAGAAAGTGCAGTTGGAATTTATATAGGGTGCATGAAAAGCCCCTTTTTCTGTCTTTCTTTATCTCTGTCTCTTTGCCCTAGACAGTCTTCCTTCACTGAGGTGATTCCCCTAAAAGTTCCTTATCATTTAGGCTTTGCTTGGTAGGAAGGATGGAAAGGGATGAAGATGGAAAACTTCTTAATCTGATGGATAAGCTGCAGAGTAGGAAAGTAGTTATGAATTTTAACCATTGGATTAAAAAGTTTTTGATTCTTACCCTTATCCATCCTTCCTACCAAGCAAAACCTTAAGGTGGTTAGGGAAGAAAGTTTCAGTTTTGGTTTTGCATGACCCTGGTGATCATCAATTATAAATTGTTTGATCAAGTAAGGTATTTGTTCATTCCCCCCTTTTCAGTTTTTGATGCAGCTGTTGTGGAGTGGAAATAGAAGGGTAGTTGTTACTGAAAAGTTAATGGGTAAAGATTCCCAGCTGTATTGAGCTCTGTCTAACGAGTTTGGATATAGGGCTGTAACTGTTAGGATCATAAATATTGGTCACTGCTTATAGATTAGAGATTGTTACAGACTTTTGTCATCTGCATTAGCAGCTCTTTTTCCTGCCATGAAAATTACTAATGCAATTGGTTTTTCTCATATGAAGCCTATGGATTGTTTCTTATACAGACACTTTTCGAAGTTCTTCCCCTCAACGTGATCAATAATGGTAGTTTAGAAGGCAATGGTTGAGCCTGAAGGAAATGGAAACCAATGGTAGCAACCACCGTTCCTGTGAAAATCACCCTTCAACAGATTCAAATAATGCTAACAAAGATCAATCCACTGAGAAGGAGGTTTTTGTTAACCGTGGTAAGTTGGTTTTAAAGCCTTAAAGACTATTGATTTTGTCTCAGGAAGCCTGTTATTCCGATGAAACCATGTAACTCTTGAATAGTAGTAGAACAGCTTTTTTGAAGATCTTACTAGAATTAAAAGCTCTGAGCATTCCCAAGCTTCATACCTCAATGAGATTTCCGGCACGCATTTGGGCTTATATCTGAATATGAACTTCAGTAGCATCAACATATGGGACTGGGTGTGAAATGGTTATGATGTTGCTTACCATGTGGACGTAAGGTTGTGGGGGGTGTATGAGGTTCCTGAATAGAGGGGTTGTACGCTAAAATGTAATTTGTGGTTATGGCCTTAGTGTGCACTTTTCTTCTGCAAATAATTGCTTTTATTAAACTCCAAATATGAGATTGCCTGAAATCAATGTTTTGTTCTATTTCTTACAACCTTAATGTGAGTATTTTGCTACTTCTTTGTTAAAATAAATTCAAAACAGAGTTGTGCTTCTGGAAATAATGTCCATAATCTTCCTGTGCAGCTGAAATAACTTGGCATGAGATTAGAAGACAATGGGTTGGGGATCAGTCTCAAAAATCGAAAAGAATGCCCCAGGAGCCGATAATGAGGTATATGTCTGTAGTTTTTTCCCCTGCACTGTTAGAATCTTCCTACTCAATATTGAGTGCCATTGGTGATTTATTGTTTGCTACATTCTCAAAACCTAGCTTTTAATCGCTTGAAACAGTAAGGAAGATAATTTATCTTTTTAAATCTTGGCGTCTATATAGTACATAATCTACATTCTCATGCTGTTAGCTTTTGGACATTCACTTCTCTTCTCGTACTACTTTGTTGGAATCTATACTTAAAGTAATGAGTACTGTTAGTGATATTAACTGTTTGCTAATCACTCTTATTAAAATATAGCTTTTAAACTCTTCAGTTGTAACTAGTTGATTTTCTTTCAGATGTATTTAGGAAAGCAATAAAGTAAAACTGTATGTTCCCAAATTCTTTCTATTTCTTCCCTTATAGTGAAGCCGCATGCTATTCTTTGTTTCTTGGGTTGCATGCTCTCCTTACATATAGTCAGTCTTTTTCGGTAAACCATGGACACATACTCTTTCTGACATGTATAAGTTATCTGATACTATCAAAAGCTTCCATACCACATTACTACCCTTCACAGGCTTGCCCTTGTTCATCGTTAGAATTCAATTAACGCTTGAAATGGAATTTTTTTTCTCTTTTAATAGTTGAGGGTGTCAGTTCACACCTTTCAAGAGTCATTTCATTCAAGTTGCTTCCTGGAATATAACCATACACCTGCAAATATAGGTGTCTAGACTTGTTACTCTCATTTTTTATCCTTGGAATCTTCTTTTGCAGCTGGACCACAACTTATGAGGATTTGCTTTGTTCGACTGAACCTTTTCAACAGCCAATCCCATTAGCTGTAAGTGTCTCAGAACATCTTCCTTCAACTTACAGTTTCAGGCCAATGTTGATGTGCATTTTGTGTGGTGAAAATGCAGGAGATGGTGGATTTTTTAGTTGACATCTGGCATGAGGAAGGCCTCTATGACTAGAAACTTGGAAAACTTGTTCTGATAGTTGCACAGTTTTTTGGTGCAGATTTACCAAGATGAACTCATAGGTTATACAGTTTTTCAAAGTTGGTCGGATGATACTATCATGTTAGATTCTCTTGTTCTTGATTAGATGAACAGGAGTCATTAAAATCAATCTGGTGGAGTTCAACAACACTGGGGGGACTTATTTCATGTATTTGACTAATCTTCTCAAGTAAGATCTTTTGGTTTGATAAAATTTTAGTGAGGGAATGACAAAAATGTCGTATAACAAAGTAATGAACCAAGAGCAATAACAGGGAAAAAAATGCAAAATGTGAAGAAATAAAATTGAAGCAAGATCACAGCCAAAAAAGCCACCGGCTTCTTTGTTTTTCCCACTAATTAGGAAAAAGAAAAGAAGCCTTGCTAGTTACAACAAACCAGCCGTTACCATCAACCGCCTTGGTGACTTCCATCTCGAACTTAATCGTAAGAAAATTTACAAATCTTTGATCGGATTGCATGTACATCTTTGTGTGCTAATTGTGTAGGAGTATCTGTAGTTAATCACAAATACAATGTACTTAATCCTAACATTTCAATTGTTTTACATGTTTTCATGTGTTAAACCAAAAGCTTATAAAAAATGCATCAACGATGATTTTCGTATAGGTATGATATCGAATAATAATAATTATTTTTATTGATTTTGATTAATTTTATTAAATTTTAATTGACTAATTATTTTTGATGGATGCGTAATTATCAAACATGATTTGTAATTTTGTGACTCTTTTTTTATATTTTACTATTTTTAATCTAATAAAATAAAAAAACAAAATAAAATTCCCTAAAAATTAAAATTTGAGCCGCATCTATTTACTTGTTAGAGTAATTTTTTTACCCTTTGTTTTTTTCAAATAAAAAATTTTATGGATTTTAATCTTAAAAAAAAAAATTCTAATGTAGTCTCTTTAAGATTTATAAAGTCTTGAGTATATTACTTAAAATTTTTTTTACTATAATAGTATAATTATCTAATTACATTAAAAAATTATGTAAGAATTAATGTTTACCTAAAATTATGATTGATTTTACATAATTCTAAATTATGATTAGTTAATTATATTAAAATCATTATAGGTGAAATGTTAAAATCAAAGTTTTTTTTAATTCTTTTTATTTATCTTATTATGTCCTTTTTTTTCATTTCTTTATTTTTATCTTAATATATTTTTATATAAAAATATCATTTAAGTATCATTCTATCAAATTAAATATTTAAAAATATTATGATAAATTAATTATTCTGTTTTTTATACTATTAAATTTACTTGTTTGATATTTAAAGATATTACATATTTATTTTGCATATTATTAATAGTATTATATAAAAGTTTAAGTACATAAATATATTAGTAATTAATAAAAAAAACTTGAAATAATATAAAAAACAACTAATATCGATATATATAATTTTTTTAAAAAAATATTATTCTGTATGATATTAATAATTTTGCGTGAAATAAGCAAATATTAATATATAAATGGTCTGATCGACCTTTTAAACTGATACTAAAATTTTTAGACTCGACCTTCACTTACTTTTGTCGCTTGAAAAGAAAAATCAAGGCCATCTTTGATTGGCGGTCAATTTTTCTTTAAAATCTCTTTTATATCGAGAACGAGAAAAAAGACAAAGAAAAGAAAAGAAAACGCTAGAAAAGAACAATCAAGGGGGAGTTTTCGGGTGACGGCAAATATCGGAGGCCAAATGAAAAATGGGAGACTCGGGAGACAGCAGCAACAAAGGGTTGGAAGTCACAGACTTGGATCTGCCATCGAATAAGCATGGAAACTTGAAGATTGCTTCAAGCGATCAAAATCTCAAGGACATCCTTCTTCATACCAAGTCCTCTAAAACTGCTGTAAGACCCCTTTTCTTTTCTTTTTTTTTCAAATTTTCCATCTTAATGGACTTTCTAAATTTCCATAAAATCGAAAAGTGTAACTTTAAATGCTTCATAAAACTGACTTTGCTACTCTTTTTGATGTATTTGCAGACAGTTATCAATTACGGAGCCTCATGGTAATTGTACTGATCTTCTCACCATCATGCACACAAGCTATTTTATGTAATGTTTCAATGACAGTAGGAAACTGATTTGGAAAAAAGAAGGCGAAATTGGGAAATGGGTAGTTATAAAATTGGCTGGGAATTGAGAAAATGAAGGATGCAAATTGATTACGGATGCCTCTATGTTTTCAGTTGTTTATGAATCCTGGGGGCAGAAACAATTTTTGTATTTAGTAACCTTGAAGCTGTTTTTACTTTCCAGGTGCGGTGTTTGTAGCCAGATTCTGCCTACATTTTGCCAGTTGAGCAACCAGTTCCCAAAGCTCTCTTTCGTGTATGCAGATATTGACGAATGCCCTGAAACCACGCAGCATATTCGTTACACTCCTACATTTCATTTTTATCGAGATGGTGAAAGGGTGGATGAGATGTTCGGTGCTGGAGAAGAGCGGCTTCAGGATCGCTTGTGGTTACATTCCTGAAGAATTGTGTCAGCATCAAATTTTGGAAACAAGTGCTTTCCTCTATATCTCCTTTGTAATTGACTTTGAGCATCCTAATTCCTGATTATAAAATTATTGAACTTCACTTGACCCTGGTGGTATACTAGTATTGATGCATATTGACATTTCAAAATGCATGTATATGTCCATACATATATAAATGTATATGCATATCCATGTAGACACATACATTGTTATGTATGTATGTACATGTATTAGATGTGTATCCACCTCCAACACTTGAACCAAAGTTAAAGCATATATCAATAGCTGTCATTGCACCAAACCAAAAATTTGGGAATACAGGACAATAAATATCATCCATCACCCAGTAGGTAAAGCATAATGGTGCAAATGGTAGTAATTCATACGCACAACGATATTTGAATGAAAGAATTGAATTCAATAATAGACAAGATAAAATCTCTGACAACCCGCATGGATGGTTGCGGAAACACCTGAAAAAGGAAATAAAGAGTAAAGAATGTAAAAATGTGCTAACACCTTAATTTGAAAGCAAACATCTTGAATCCCTCCTATGAGCTAAGCCTTTTCAGCATCTAATGTATGTATGCATCGAAGGTTTCTTTATTCTTGCCCTATATACCAGAATCATGGCTATGATAGTAACTGTTTGCTGAAAATTTATCTAGCTAAACCGTCTTAGGCCTTTGGCTTAAGAGGTTTAACAATCTCCCAAGTGAAATCCGGGTCATCACGGCCAAAATGACCATAAGCCGCGGTCTTTTGGTATCTAAAGTTCCCTCCTCTCTTCAAGTCAAGATTAATAGAGATCATTCCTGGCCTGAAGTCAAAATTCTCCTTAATGAATTCCAAAATATCCTTGTCTGGGATCTTGCCTGTCTTGTATGTGTCTATAAAAACCGACAATGGTTCTGGCACTCCAATTGCATAAGATACTTGCACAATACAGCGACGTGCAAGCCCTGAGGCTACCACACTCTTTGCTGCTTGCCTAACAATGTATGCACCACTGCGGTCCACCTTAGTAGGATCTTTTCCTGAGAAGGCACCTCCACCATGAGCACCCCAGCCACCATAGGTATCAATGATAATCTTTCGGCCAGTGAGTCCTGCATCCCCATGAGGTCCACCGATAACAAACCTACCAGATGGGTTTAGGTGAAAAATGGTATTGTCATCGAGATACTTTGCTGGAATAACAGGCTTAATGACATGCTCTTTCAAGTCAGCTGCAATCTGCTCATTGGTGACAGTCTCCTCATGTTGGGTTGAAATGAGAACAGTGTGAACACGAACAGGGACCATAGCTCCACCCTCATTGCGATACTCAACAGTCACTTGGGTCTTACCATCAGGCCTCAACCATGGACATGTCTTGTTCTTTCTAACTTCAGTGAGCTTGGCACCAAGCTTAGTTGCAAGCACATGGGTTAGAGGCATCAACTCAGGGGTTTCATCTGTGGCATAACCGAACATGTGACCTTGGTCACCAGCCCCAATTTCCTCAGGTTTCTTGGTGAAGTGACCATGAACTCCTTGAGCAATATCAGGGCTCTGTTGCTCAATGTTAACTAGAACTTTGCAGTTGTCAGCATCAAGGCCAACATCTGGTGATGTGAACCCTATACCCCTGCAAGTATCCCGAACAATTTTCTCATAGTTAACTTTGGCCTTGGTCGTGATCTCACCAAAGACCATAACCATGTTAGTCTTGGTGCAAGTCTCACAAGCCACTTTGCTTTCTGGGTCTTGTTCTAGGCAGGCATCGAGGATAGCATCTGAAATCTGGTCACAAATCTTGTCGGGGTGGCCTTCGTTAACAGATTCGGAAGTGAATAGGAAGGTATCCATATCTGCACTTGACCACATCATAATGCATTTCCACTTTAAAAATTAAGTTGAACAACAATAAAATTAAACATAACACAAAGTCATAACATCCTCATCAGATTTGAATTCAACTTCAAAATTTCACTTTATAAGAAACTAAAGCTCTATTTCATTGTTTAGAGATGACCATTAAAATGATTGTTATTCACAAAACTAAAACCATGCATTTTGTTGTAGACAAAAATAAAAAATTTACATTTATTAAGCCATTTATGGACCTAAAAACATAGAGATCATTAGCATTCCAAAGCTACAATCTTTAATTAAATTTAAATACAAAAGAGTTAATTCTCAAAAGAAATTAATTCCATTTCCATTCATAATTTTTAAAAAATTTCCAGAATTGCAAAAAAAAAAAATCTTTCTAATAAACGAACTATGTCAAAAACAAATCTAAAGACAAAGTGTAGAACAAATTCAAATTAAAAGCTGAGAGAAAAAGAAAGAGAGGGGATTGGAGGAGACCTGTTTTGAGATGATGAGAGTGAAACGATGAGAGGAAGAGGGATTTAAGTATATGGAAAATGGGGGTCTATTTATATACGACGAGTCGTTTGACTCGCTCTTGAACTCTCGATTCCCCGCTCTTTTCGGTGCTTGGCTTTACCTCTGTTTTTCCCGGGTTTTTATCCCCGCATAACATGTTTTCCCCTGCTTCTCGTCACAGGTTTTTAAGACAAGCATAACCATTGAAATTATGACCATATCTGGTTGAGAAAATGAAGGGGCGAGATGAGATGCTGTGGTTATGGGAGTGAACAGATGAGGAAGGCTTGGGCCGGGCCCAATACCTCTTTCAGGTTGGGGAGAAATGGGTACCACCCGCACAGACATTCCAACATGGATCCCGGGGCTCCCTGCATTTCTCATCTGTTTCAGATGAGATTTTTTCCTAAAACCGAAGAAAGCTGTAAACAACAGTAGCAGAGAAAAGAACATGAGAATGATTAGATTTCTCAATTATGTTGGTTTTAGGAGCAAATCAGTGCTTCATCAATTACCTTACAATTTAAAACATTATAATATGATGTAAATACAATATAAAAATAAAATATAAAAATAATTTAATTAATATTTTAATAATAATTATATATAAATTTTAAAAAAATTAAAAAATATATATTTTATATTTTTATATCGATATTAATTGTGACATTTAATTTTTATGTAAATTATTATACGAATACATATATTTTAATATTTTATAAATATAAAAATCATCAATTTTTTAAAATAATATTAATAAAGTGGTTTTTATTGAAATTCTAAACTCAATTAATTCATATATCGAAAATAATATTCAATTAATTTAAATTTTTAATTTTAATATATTTGAATTTGGATATAAAAGAAAACATGTGTTATTACCCTCCCTAGGTGTTACACATTCACTACTTTGGTCAATTGTGGTAAGCTTACATAACCCGCTTGAATTATAGATGTAAATAGGAAACCCAAATTATTGCTTTAATTTCCTGTTGAAAATAAATCATATATTATAATAATTCAATTTAAGTTTACCAAACTTAATTGTTGATTTTTCTTTTCTAAAAGGGAAATAGCCCACACTATATTTTAAAATAAAATAAAAAATATGAGAAATTAATTACTAGGCTTCAAGTAATCAAGGATTAATGGGCAATTAATTATTGGATTTAGTTTAGGACAAAAAGTTAATTACAAACAAATATTGTAATAATAAATGTGTTAACCATCTTTCATATGTTGACGTGGAAAAATGTCTGACCATTTTAAAAAGGTTATTTACTTTTTTTTTTTTTTTTTGATCATAGGAGGACAAAGCAAAATATATTATTTTATTTTGATCTACACCAAAATAATTTTTTTTTGTAAATTTTAGATTAATATAATACTTTAGCAATTTAAATGCTCTGAAATCAAAAGAGACTAAAAATAAATTTGTGAATAATGGGAAAAAGATTTACATTTAAAAAGTTAATAATTTGCTCTATTAATTCAATCATACGGCTAAGGCATGATATTACCAACAATTATATCAGCCACAGCTCATGAAAATCAAATCAAGGGTTTAGTATTAGATTGGTTTATAAGTTGCCAAACTCTTTAAAAAAAAAAAAAAAAAACTTCTATGATGTTTGAAAATTGTATAGTTTGGCCAAGAGATTTGAAAATTTTTGGTTGTTTCTAGACTTTTTGACCATTTCAATCACCTTTTGTGGCAAAAATTTAACTTTAGACCGGTCCTTGACTAGGACTTTAATTAATTAATGAACTAGCTAGTGAAATTTATCGACATTCAAGTTTTGATTTTACTGGCCCATACTTGTCTGTCAAACTTGTGTTTGATCAAATTAAAATTTTTCTTTCTTTTTGAAATAATATTGTCAAATTAATTAATTAGACGTGAATTAAGTTTAATTTTTATATTAGTTTGAAAAGATTGTCTATTAATTTCTTTTATATAAGGATTTTTTATGAAGACTTATGATCCACGAACTTGATTTTATGAGAGCTATCATGAAATTTTGACATGGTTCAATTATATCCATAAATTGTTAACTCATATTAAATTTATTTAAATGCTTTAAATGAACAAAATTGACTTTTTTTCTTCACTCCCTATTGCATCATAATCATTTGAGTTAATTTCAACGAAAATATCACATTCATTATATAAATCTGTTTAATAATTGGATTATTAGTTTAGATCTATTGAATGAGTTTTAATATAATTTAGATTCGTTTAAATTTTGAATCGAATATTAAATAAAAAAATAAAATTTTAATCAAATTCGATTCGATTCAAATAAGTTATATATAATTAAAATATTATAATTATATAAATATATATACGAAAATTTTATTTTTATATTTTATTTTAAAAAATTAAAATTTTATTATATAAATTAAATTTAATAGGTAGACTTACAATTTATTTTTTTAATTTGAGTGAAATTTAAAAAAATTTTAAAATCTAAACTATTAAATTAAATCAAATATAAATAAATATATAAATTATTAATACCAAATATAAATCCGCTTCAAACTTAACCGCACCCCATGAATACCCTTATTATTGTACACATTCGTCCAAATCAAAAACCAATGAAATGGAAAGTTAACAAGAATAATATCCTTCCCTTCTCTTGTTTTGGCCTTTGAATGTTTATTATTTTTAAATTTTTATTTTATTTTAATAGTATACATGTGCACCACGCACAATCATATCAGAGACTTTTTTCAAGAAATTTACAATGTCAAGACATAATGGAAGTGACACGATAATTGGAGATGTATATACTTTTATATGTCTCTATCAAACCTGAATTGGAAATTTGGCTTCTTATCATTTTTCTTTTAATAATGCATATAAAACATTGCACATATGCTCACAAAAGTTAACCCAATTATTAATAAGTAGTTGATTTAATTAATTAAAATTTATTTTTTTCGATTAAAAAATATTGAATTTGAATCTTATTAGTAATTATTTGTTGAAATCATTTCAAATACACGACTTGCAGTCACTTATATTAAATTATTAGATACGATTTATGAATAATCTATTTACTTTTGAATTTTTTTTACCAAAAAAAAAAGTTAACCCAATTGATAAAGATAAAAATTTTATTTTTTATCAATCAGAGTCGAATTTTATAAAAATTACTTGGAGAGTAAAATTTTGTACATCACTTTGAATAATACAAGAAAATGCATCTTTAAAGTCGTATAAGAATTTTAAATTATATAATCTATGATTATATTTTTAGAGATAAGACATTTACTAACTTAGAATGATTAATTTAAGTTAACGCGAAATTTTTTATAACCTATGAATTTGATGCGCCAAATAATGAATGAAAATTAATTAAGGCGTCCAGATTGACAAATGAAAATGGCATAGCAGCCCCAAGACTGGACCTAATTTTTTAAAAAAAATAAATAATAATGAAAGTATAGGCTATCATTTTCAATGAAAATTGAATCCTCATTGCTTGAGTAAGACTTTGGATTCTTTTGGGTGAGGAAAGAAGAAGAGACCAAGTTATATGGTCCTGTTGTCTGATTAATTTATGATGGAAACTTCTCTCAGCTAATCAATAAACAGGAGTTATAGAAAAATGGATGATTGAAATCACAAGACCTGTCTTCCTCAGTGCCTCAAACCAATTTAAGTTTTGTTTTGGTACAAAGCTAGGCAGCAGCCTCCCCATAGCCATCACCATTCACCACCATAATTTGTGAAAAGAAACTTTCAATATTCAAAGACAAGAAGATGGGAAGGGCTCCTTGCTGTGACAAGGCTAATGTGAAAAAAGGGCCCTGGTCTCCTGAAGAAGATGCAAAGCTGAAAGAGTACATAGAGAAACATGGGACAGGAGCGAACTGGATTGCTCTCCCACAAAAAGCTGGTAACAACTCCTTTTTTTTTTCCTTCTTGCTGATCAGTTTGAAGGAAGATGGTAACTGAAACTGATGATATATCAACATGTAGATTGAAGGGTCCTTTTAATATTTCTTGTTTGTGATCTTGGAGGTGTTTGATTTGTATATAGGTCTAAGGAGATGTGGGAAAAGTTGCAGATTAAGATGGCTTAACTATCTCAGGCCTAATATTAAACATGGAGAGTTCTCTGATGATGAAGATAGGTTAATCTGCACTCTCTTTTCAAGCATTGGTAGCAGGTATCAATCACACTGCCTTTTCCAAATAAATGATTATTTTTGTCAAATTATATTTTCTAAAACTTGATTTGGGTCTCTGAAGATTTTTATTTCCTAAGAAATTAACCAGGCATGGAAACACTTCTTTTTCCTTTTCCCTTTCAAGAAAATACTTGCATATTCCAAGAATATGCTACTTTTAGATTATTTTTCCCTGATTCTGTCCTTTCATGCCATGTTTGGTTTCTCAAGTGTTTGAGATAGAGTTTCAAAAACAGCTTACTTAAATTTCTTCTGATGGAACTTTACTCATATCATCAACTACAGGTGGTCAATTATAGCAGCTCAGTTGCCAGGCAGGACTGACAATGATATCAAAAACTACTGGAACACAAAGCTAAAGAAGAAACTTTTTGGCATGGTTCCCCAATCTCAAAGAAAAACTCATCACATTCACAATGCTAGCTTCTCATCTCTTCTTCAATCATTTTCACCTCCATCCCCATCCCCATCACCTTCTTTGCCATCACCATCACCATCATCAACAATACTCTACAATTGCAACAACAACACTTACCACACACCAGGTAGATCTTTTCCAAACTTTGAAGTATCATATTCCTCAAGTTTCTCAAACAGCAGTGCTTCTTGTATAACTGCTGCTTCAGTTCTTCAACCCCCCCAGGAGACTTTATTGGGTCCCATGAAGCATTATCAGCTGCAGGATGGTCTCCGAAAGTTTGGGGGTGAAGCTAGTTGTAGTTCTTCTGATGGAAGTTGCAGCAACCAAATCAGCAAGACCAAAGAATTAGAGAATGAATATGGTGGTGCCACTGGTAACAATGGTGCAAATAATGGTGACCAACAAATTGGCATGCACAGCTATAATTTCAATAATGAAGCTGATGAAAACCAGAAGCTTATGGCATCAAATGGAGGTGAAGCTAATGAATGGTCTGAGAAGTCATCAAATGGATTGTGGGATGAAACACCATTAGATTATGGGCTTGAGGAGATCAAGCAGTTAATTAGTACTACTAGTTGTAACAGCTTTAGTTTTGATGAAAACAAGGCAGAGGAAAAAGTCATGTACTATTGATCTGACTATGACTGCGTGTAAAATCAGATGGAATGGGCTCAAAGTTATCAGATTTCTGATGGAAACAGTTTGTACATGGCAAAAAAAGTTTCCTTTGTACTTTTTTTTTTTTTTTGAGAAATTATGTTATTTGTTACTGATCAGAGTTTAGCTGAAATATTCAGAAATAATTCATTATATGTCATGGAAACTAGAGAAGCCATCAACTTTTCAAGGACCAAACTTGAAAACTAAGCAGATAACTTCTTTAATCCAATTTTTAATCAATTTTCCAGATCTAAAATGTTTTCTGTGTTTCTTTTAAATGAATTTTCATTGATCAACCCTGAATCTAGCCAAGCCCAAGGTGAGGGTCTTTGGATCTTTGTGGATATTATCCCTCAAAATTTAAAAATGACTTGATGTTAATCCTAATCTCAGTCTTCTTAAACAAGTCTGTTAATTCTATAGTTTTTTATATCTTTTAGGCGTTGAGTTCGATTTATATATATATTTTAATTTTTTTAGACTACGATTGAGTTTGAACTTGGAACTTTCAATTCCACAATAGATTCGTGTATCAAAGTTAATGTCTTATTGGTTGTCAATTCTATATATTAAGTACTATAAATTAATATTTTATAAAATATAGGCACATTTAAGTCAAGATTTGTTAGAAAGATAAAATACATTTAGAGTTTACAAGAACACATGATTCTTCCATACGAGTAAGTCCTATCAATATTTTTTTTATTTCAAAAATTATCGTAATTTTGATTTCGATATCATTTGTTGGAGAGATAAACTATATTTATCCCACAAATTATTGTAATTTTGACTCTGATATCATTTGTTGAAAAGATAAATTACAGTTGAAACCCACAAAAAATATATTAAAGAGCTCATACATACATATTGAACATCATTTGAGTTCAAAAGCTTAAATTATTATATTTTTGAATTTTTTATGCATATATAAAAATTTCATTCAAATTTTTTAATGATGTGAAATTTTTTACTCACATATAAATCATATCTCAATAATTGATATATATATAAAATTTGATTATAATAAGTTAAAATAGCATGGTACATATACCATTATATTAAAAGGCTACTGGCCAATGTTGATTTTGAACATATAATAACTGAAGAGTAAAACAGATTAATTTAAACTTTTTTTTAAAGAAAAACTTGTTTAATTATGTAATAAATGAATTTTATATCATCACATTTATCATTTTGTAGTGAACAAACATAATTGGTTCCACCATCCCATCCCCTTTTCCCTATCTAGTAGATAAAAAAATGATGTTGAAAATTTTGTGAGTTTTAATTGGTTGACAATTAGCAGCATGACACATGTTAGGCAAGTTTCAATTATATTGATTACCCAATTGATTAGGATTGGTGCAGCATGGAGAGGCAAAAAGCTTTGATTAGAAAATTAGAGAAATGATAAACAAATCCAACTAGCTGGCTAGGGAACATCAAACATTGATATAATAAAGGAAACATTCAAGATCATATATCTATATATAACAAAAAATGGTGAGAATCCCCGTGGGGAAGAAGCCCAAAGAGCTCTAAAATCATACAATCTGATCATGATAATGATGCCTTGGGGTTTATCATATAGAGATATCAATTTTATTTATATTTAATGAAGAATCAACGTTTACACGAAAATAAAAATAAATATTATGTTATGAGTATAAAGATAAAAATGGATATGATTTTAAATTTTTATTGAGTATAAATATAGAAACGGGTAATATAGCACTTATATCTTATTTTATATATATATTTAAAAAATAAAATTTTTTATTAAATAATATAAAATATTATTTTAAATTAATTATAATTAATATATTTTTATTGAAAAATATACATTAATATACTTATAAAAAAATTATCTAAATATACAAGATAAAATAATAAAAACTAAAAAAATAAATTTTAATTTTTTTAAAAAAGTTGTGGGTATGAGGTTTATTTGTACCAATTAAATATTTGTGGGAATGAAGATGAAAATAGATTTGATAGAAAGTCAGAAACCGATTTGAAATTGTAGTATTCGGTTCATATTGATTTTTTTTTTTAATTTGATTCGAATCAAGTTCGGATATTAAATGTGTATATTAAGTTTATATCATATTTTGATTTGGGAAGTGAAAAATAAAAAAAAATCAAATCAAATTATATATATATTTTAGTTTTTATATATATTTTAAATTTTTATAAAATAAAATTAATAATTTTATATTAAAATCTATTTAAATATATTAAAATAATATATAAAAATTTAAAATTTAAAAATCGATAAACTGAATTGAATTGAACTGATAAAATTGGTTCGATTTGGTTTAGATTATATAAAGATTCGACTTTGATTAAATTAAATTTTAAATTTTATAATACTATGTGATATTCAAAAAATCAAATTGAAATCGAATCAATCGTTATCATCCCTAAATATTTTATTTCCTATCAATCAACGTCCTTAATTTATTAATTATATTGGCTAATGGGTTTAGCTGGTTTGTTTAAATCAAATATAGTTGGATATTTTATTCTTCTCCTATAAGAAACAGAAAAGTAAAATGTTATCGACAAGATGGAATCCATTTTTCACCATTTTGTTTTCTTCTGCCAATTAGGTTAATTAAATTTAATGGGTTTTGCCAGCTATAGGCTTTATTTATTTTAAGATGGAAAATCAAATTGGGTTTTTAAAGATACGAGGAAAGAGTTTAATTAGTGGAGTATAAAAGACGTCAAAGGGTGTGGAACCTACTGATTGATTCATCAAATTTTAATCTACCTCTGTGGAAATTTTAAATTCAACCATTCATTTGCTTTTCTATGTTTGTTAGTCAGTGAGCATCAAATTTCAGGCTCCTGCTTAAGCATTATAAAATAATTATAGCTTATTTAATTCCCTTCACAAAACTTCAAGATAGTTGATCATATTGAAAAATAAAAATATGCAAATATCGATAAGAGATTGATTAAATTGATAGTTTAGTTGATGATTTTTTATTAAAATTATTTTAAATGTACGATTAGTAATTATTATTTTTTAAATTATCAAATACTGTATATCTTATTATAATATGAGAAATTAAATAATTTATTCACCCATAGATTTTTCATAAAATATCTCTATCTTTTTTTCAAGAGCCATGAAAACCCATATCCAACAAAATTAAAGCTGAATCAAAGCTTGATCCTTTCTTAAAAAGTTGATAATAACTCAAAGTTTATAAGTATATAATTAGGCAAATTTACTTATTTGCTTCACAGCAGATTCAAGATTTTTTTTTTTTTGAAAATGATCGTTTATAATATATATATATATATATATGTGTATTATGTAAATATATATAATTGTAGATGATTTTATTAATTTTATTAAAGAAAAAGATATTAGACATAACCTAATGCATCCAAATTCAACAAGATTGAGAAACTGATGTAACCTTACTTTCCGAATTGTCCGAACATAATAAGCATGCATGTGGAGGATTTGTGTATGCTCCATCTTTTCTGTTTTGCAAGTACCCTTTTAAAATATAAAACATTTGTTTTTCTATTAAAGTGAAGACATCGTTGAAATCTTCCATGGAAAAAAGGCAGTCTGCCTTTTCCAACAACTAAACATAAAAATCTCAATTATAACATGAAAACAAACAGTTCAACCATTAAAAGGTGTCGACTACCGACAATTAACTAGGATTATCAAATTTGTTTCTTGTGTTGCTGTGGCAAAAAATCAAACAAGTGATGCTCCCAAGTTGCATCCCACGTTTTACTCACTGTTTCTTGATGGATGAATATAAGTAAATCCAATTTGTGAGATAGTGATTTATGGATTTAACACTTGAACCATACGAATGTAATGATTCAACGAATAGATGTGGTTGTATTCATGAATGGTTCAATGTTTAAGAAGTTCGATTTTGAACAATTCAGTATAAATATGACTGATGTGAAAGTGTACATTTTTACGATCATTTGAAATTTTTTTTTATTTTTTATAAAATATAAAATTTTAAAATTATTAATTTAATAATTATATAAAAATTTAAATTTGTACATTCTCAAATAAAATAATAATTGATTAGTAAGATATTTAAATTTTCTATAATAAATAATGACATTTTCTAAAATTGACCCTCAAATCATTTTTAATATCAATAGTTGGCTTTAAAATTTTAAAGAAGGGACAACTTAAATAGTATTTATAGATTAAGGATTATAGATACGAGGAAAGGATTAGGTCAAGCGAAAATCGAAAACAACTCTAATTGCACTAATAAAAGATTAAAAGGTAAATGTCTGCAGAATGAGCACTTAATAATAATGTAAAGTAGCGACTCATGTTTACACTAGATTTATATAAATGAATACCATGGAAAAGATCATTTGATTGATACAATTCATTTCTTAAAACGTTTATAGGAATCATCAGGTCGGGACAAGTTTATAATCTTTATGATTTTAACCTGGTTTCTTAATAATTAAATACAATTCTAACCCAACTCAACATCGAGTTATTATTTTTATACCCAACACACACACATACACATACATATATATATATATATATATATGTAATTTGTATCCGACGAGTTTCAAGGATAACAGTACTTCCTTTCAGTGTAATCTAATTTAGATGTTAAGCAATGCATATGAACATTTCTGATGTGGCCCATGGCATTATTTGATGGCATAAACAGAGAACTGAGAATAATCAATTGGATATTGACAATTAATTCCCAAATAATGGTTAGGTCAGTGAATTAGAATACAACATTCAGTTTCGTACATACAAATACAACAATTTTATGTACAGAATGCACACAGGAATACAAGTGATGGTTAGAAGAAACTGATGAATTACTTACAAAAAATCCCATTGCCGATAAACCTTCTCCACAATCCCTCCACCACTCCGTACAGCAAGGTGAAGTGTGTCAGAAGCAGTGGGAACACCCCAGAGGTATGGCACTGCAACTGTCATGGTAAGCTTTTCATGCAAACCACCTTTGATAGCCTTCTCAGCCGCAACAACCTAAAAATCATCGACAGGCAATTTTCAAAATTACAAGTAGCCACAAGAGGTAAACCCTCAAAAAGATTCAATGCACGATGATCATAAAAGTATTACTCGTCAGCAAGTTCTGTGAGAGAATTATTTAGATAGGTGGACATGAAACCACATTTTGAAAGTGAACCATGAGATTGAACGGTGACATTACTTTTGATTCACAGCCTAAGGAAGATCACTTAAAGCTGAAGAATGGTGATGCTACTTGGAAATTCAGCATACATATTTTCGTGGTTTGTTTAGTAAATAGATAAGACTTGCATGGCTGATTAAATCGGAAAAATGGGACTCTAAGACCGCCAGTTGTAAACTAATAAGACTCTTAGGTTGCTGTGAGGGAGCCAAGGCAAAGGTCCATTCACACAAGTTCCGACACAACCCAACAAACTATCGTTGTAATTAGCAAAATTTAGCAGAATTTGGGCTTTTTTTTTTTTCATATCAATAATAATAGGTAAACAAGGTCCCTGATTAAACAAACAAAAAGAATGCTTCTGCCAGTTTCAGCCACAAGTTGACTAGTTCTGTCAAGCTTTCAAGATACTAACTAAAACTTTCCTCGGCTGGATATCAACACTATACATCGATATGAACTATACTAACTAATAAAAGAAAGGAACAAAGAGTTAATACTGAAGATATGGTGAAAATATCTTAAATGTTATGGCCATGTGATAAAAGATGATTTTTTAATGTTTCATATAATGTTTTAGATTACGATTTTCAATTCAATATCTTCATATATGTAAAAATGCAACATAGTACTGATTGAAGAAAAGACAATTCTGGTCCAATGTGCATACCTCCCCACCATGCTCTAAAACAGTAACTTCAACAACATCACTAAGCATCTCAATGGAGCGGCAAAAGCCAATGATACAAAGCCTTCTGCCCATGTCAAGTCCCTAGATGGGGAAAATCGAACATATGTAAGTCATGTACGATTGAAATCCTCGAGTTTATGACAGCATAAAAGTTCCTTACATTTGTTGCTGCAATGTCAAAAAGAGCACCTAGACATAAGCCTTGATTAGGATCCATGTAATCACTCTCTTGAAACCGTTGAAATCTTTGAGCCGTTTTTGATTTTCCCCGTTTCTTCTGCCCAAATAACAAAATTGTTCAGCCAACTGACACCATATTCTACAATGACGCACAGCATAAAAGAAAAAAAAAAAACTAGAGTCCCTTATACCATCAAAGTTCAATTGCTCAAACTTCCATCCTCTTTTGATCAATAAGACATTGATCACTCCTAAATAATTGTGAGTAATAACAAGATACTTACATCTGAAAAAGTTAGACGCCGAGGAACCATTGAACCTCCAATTTGAATCAGTCCATCTGATGTGAACAAAGTGACTCTGTCCTCTCGAACCCATTCCACATCTGCAAATTTGAATAAAATATAAAACGGTTTTAATAGTCCATCAACACGAAAATCACAATGCAACACTTAAAACATTTCATGTTTCACTTAAATTTACCTTAACAGCTATGACCCTTTACTCAATTCAATTAAAAAAATCTATCTCGTGGCATAAAAGAAGCATCCTTAATCTCAAATTTTGGATTTTGACGACAAAAAATGGCGTAAAACTATATTTAACGATTTGGGTATGAAATATTTTAACGATTTCACTCTTTTAAACCAAGTAAATAAAAAGATTCGAGAATTAAGCATAAATAAAGTGAAAATAAAAGTTGGGTTTTTTTCTTTACCGTTGTCACCAGGGGACCAAGGAAAGAAACCAAAAGAATCTTCACCGGGAAAGCTACCGGAATCTGAAGCTTTGAAAGAGAATCGAAGGAAACGAGAGGGACGATTTGAGAATCTGAAAGAAGTTGGGAGAAAAGAACTGGTTTCTCTCCAACGGGATAGGAAAGGAAACGAAGAGAAAGAAGAGATAGCAGATGTTGTAGCCATTAAAGAGTGTTTTTCTTTTTTCCAGAAGAGAAATTGAAGGATCAGAGATGATCAGAGAGACGAAAAGAAAAGAGAAAGGGAAAAGTTTAGACGCCACAGATGTGAAATGGACACGTGGCGTAAAGGAATGAGGCTTTGTCCTTGTCTTTATGGCAGCTGAGAATCCGGGTTTGAAACGATTCGTCTACGACTTCTCGGTCTCGGTACTTTGTGTTTCTTTGGTCGGTTTTTTATTTATGGATTTTTTATTATTTTATTAGAAATTTTATATTGAAGGTACAAAATTAAAATTGAATTGGATAACTATGAGTAGCCGGTTTAATTGATTAAAAAAATTTTATGTAAAAATCTTGACTTTGAGTTATTTCTTAAAATTATTTTAAATGTATGATATTTAATTATTTATTTTATATCATTAGATATGATATATTTTACTTTAATTTGAAAAAAAAATAAAAAATATATTTACTTTAAATTTATTTTTACCCAAAAAAATAAATAAATACAAAATTTTCATAGCTCAAAATAATAGACTCAAAAGAAAGAGAAAGAAAAAAACAAGATTTAATTTAATTGAATTATTATAATTTAAGAAAGTGATATTTAATATGTTTTAAATTTAAATTTCAGTATCTATCATTTTTGTTATTTTTTATGATGCAAACTTTTTTGTAAAAAAACAAAAAGTTAATAACTCGAAATATATATATATTTATTTCTTATTTAAAAATTTCAAAATCTAACATAAGATTTATCTATAAATTCCAAATATGGGACTATCTTTGAGCTTTTTTTGGTTTGTTGGGTTGGGTTTTCTGTTCATTGAGCCATGAACATATGCTTGGGTTTCATGGTTGTTTTGTTTCTAATTCTTCCCATGTTTGATGTCTTTAACCGAATCTCCTAATTCCCATATCTGATGGCTTTCATTTTATTCTGTCAACAATATTATTGAGATCAAAGAGTAGGGGATTTGGGTGGGATTTGCTCTATCTGCTCAAAGGCATTTGAAATATTGCTGAGGAGATGAGAATTTGGGTCCAGTCCATTCTTGCTATTGGCTTGTGTCTCTTAATAAATTTCATTAGCAATAGCATATCAAGATTTGAAATACAAACATGGCGCAGGGATATGGTATGACAGAAGCTGGTGGAAATTTTTCATTGGAGAATCCAACGGAAAGGCTTCGTTCTTCTGGTTCAACTGGAACACTACTCATGCCTATAATAGAATCCAAAATTGTCAGTGAAAATACAATGAAACCCCTTCCACCAAATCGGATAGGAGAAATATGGATTCATGGACCGACTATTACACAAGGTAAAAATAAGCTTCAATTTAGTGAACATATGATCAAGTTAGAGGGTTCTGCTTCAATCAGTCTTTCAAGTCTGATACTGTTTTAATGGGCCCTTTTTCTTTTTTTTTTTGGTTTTGTGGTGTCTTTATTGTTCATAGGTTGCACCTTTCAAAAGATTGAAAAGAGTCACTTTCCTGAATGGTATCCCAAGATCAGTTCCTGGAAAGATTTTGGGAAAAGAGCTGACAGAGAAAGTTCGATCCCAAAGATGTAAGATACCAATTCACCTTGAGAAAGGTTGAAGACCTGAAGTTCATTACTAATGGATTACAAATTCTGGGTTTATGAGTTGTTATCCCACTGCAATATTTAGCTAGAATTTTTTCCACAAGTCAATGACTATAATCCCAAACTTATAATCTCAACCCATGGTTTTTAATTTTCCCACATTCCCTGTGCATTTTGGAATGCGCATGACTGATGTTCAATTCATGATTTGCCAAGTCAATTATATTCCTAATTTAAGACAATATTAGTTGAATTTATGTGAATAGTAACAGACTTACTTTGGTCAATACTTGAGTAATTAGTCATGATTAAATGGTGTTCTTGTTTAAAAGAGATGGGCAATGCAACAGTACCAGGCAGGCTTAAATCAAGGTAGAAGGTTGTTGATTGCTGTGAAAATTTGTTCTATGTTTTTGTCAGTACTAATTTGTAAGATGTAGTTCATGAATTTTATCTCAAGTCAAAGGATATCGTCACGTGAATCGAAAATCTCAGTCACGGAAAAACAAATAGAAAGAGTAGAAAAGGAAAACTTTTGATCATAAAGAAAGGAAAATTGCATTAAATTAAATTAAAAGAAAGGATATCTTTGAGGAGTAATTTGGTGCGGCGAGCTTTTTTGTGAGAAAATCTTCGCTTCTTTACTTTCCTGCTTGGACATTCTCCGCCCATTTTTTCTCTTCCCCTTGGATTGCGATTTGGGAAATTAGGGTTCCGTAATAGACTCCTTGAAAAACCCTGAGCGGAAAAGGCCAATCGAAGAGGAGACTGGTGAGCAGGTGTTTTTATATCTTTTGAATTGGCAAGAACGATGTCGTTTTAATAATTAATTATGAAAATCCCATTTAGCATACAAAAACTATTTTGACGAAAGATTCAATTATTCACTTCAGTTTTAGTAATTTAACTAATTAATTAATTTAAAATTTACCTTTTTTATGGTTGGATAAAGTTTAATTTACATAATTTTAACAAAGTTTGATATATTATTTAAAATTAAATCTATTAATGCAAATTTTTTTATTGCAATTACACAGGAAAAGAATTCTTTGACGTAAAACTGAATAAATGATTTGAGAAAAAAGTAATAGGGCAAATGCGGTTTTATAAACTAGTTCATTCTATGATTCTATATGCATCGAACAATTTCTCCGGTCTAACACAAGTAAGCTAATTTCTACTTCAGTAAGGACGAGAAAATAGGATAAAGAATTACAAGAGCAAATTATGAAGCTGTAAAAACTGGACTTGCCAGAAGCGATACCCCTTGAATAGCCTTCAAGCAAACAGACTAATCAGGCTTAATGTGGGGTAAAATATTATGAGGCGAGGATGATCTTACAGGGCATGCTTCTGGCAAATTACTTTACATAATGTACAAATAGCTTATTCCCCATGGTACTCAGCATGAAACTCAACTATCAATGTTCATGCTTGACACGTGCTTTCAATATTCCGGGAAGAGGCGGTGACATAGGAGGCCTACCCGGTGTGCTTGTTCTGGGGGGAGGAAGGATCTGTTGTTGGTACATTGTCGACATACTAGAACATTCACCATCTGCAGAAAAATTGTGTGCCATTTCGTCACTTAGTGGTGTTTCACAGAATTTCATCGCCTTCAGAACATAGTTGTCATCATGGAGCTCAAATGGAGTGCTGTAAACAGCACACCAATAAGATTAAAAGGAACAAAAAGAAAAGGTAAGCAATGAATCAAAAGATGATTCAAGCATTCGATCACTTATCGCTTGCTTGTCAAGTGAAGGTTATCAAACTATAGAATTTACCCCTCTACCCTGACTAGCCCCTTCTTTCTCTCTCTTTGGCATTCCATGGTTTCCCATCACAACATGAGTAAACATGCTTGCCCTACACTGCATGGTAATGACTCAAAACACCTACCAAATGCTGTTGAATGGATGTTGCAAGTTATTAAAATAGTGTAAATATCTTACCTATTAAAGTCAAAATGCACCAGCTGCATATCTTCCGATATTTCTACCTCAACGGTTGCATGAGGGCGTGTCTGCAATTCTCAGATGATAAGAGAAAAAGAGAAGAGAAATTAAGAGGCCTCATGATTAATGGAAGAGTCCAAATAAATATGAAAACACACTTTTTATCTGTTGAGTGTTGAGTACATGCTCCATGATAGCCTTTTAGCCTTAAAAAAGAAACCTCATGGTATCCCCTTTTTTTCCTTTAAGTTTTTGGCAAGTACAAGTTTTGCCTAATAAAGGAGCTAGGAAATTAAAAAAATTGCCTAACAAGCCGAAAATTTCGTGGCATAACTTCAATATCTGGAATTTCTAATTCCTTATAAGAATGAAAGACTTGAGAAGATAACAAACCTGCACCAAGATAAAGGGCAAAGCCACACCCCCGCTGGGAGCATTTACTGAGCTGAATAATTGCTCATTTCGTTGTATCAAATTCTGAAGACCTACAAACTAAGAAACAAAACAAGTACATCAACAAATGCTGGCACAAAAAGGAACAAAGTGAAACTTGATGTTATTCTCTCTCGCTCTCTCTCTCTCTCTCTAAATGCAGCAACTTAATGTTTAGCAAAAAAGAAAACTCTCAACATAAGGGTATGTGGAAAGCAATTTTATGTACAAACATGTGAAAATTGAAAGTGTGCTCTTCTTACCTGTTCCTCCAACTCATGCAGATAGGCAGCTTTTTTTTCAATCCTATTTCTCAGTCCAAGCCGTTTAGTCTGTATTATTTAATTTGAGGAGTTTGTTAAGCTCAATATTAGATCCTTAATAGTCACAGTTCAAACCTATTTAACATAAAAGACACAAAAATGGAAGTTCTATTGTCACCTTTAATTCTTCGATATCGCTCAGGCTAGTATGAGGAAGTCCCTTCCATTGTATTTCCTTTTTATCCTTAGATATGATATCCATTGCCATTAGTACATTCAGAGCATCATAAACCCTTCGCCGGATGTTTTTCTCATCATACTGTTGCTGTTAGATTAAAAGAAACAAAGGAAGGTTCAATACTGTTAATTTCACTCTCTAAGGGTAAAAGATGCACGAGTACAGATCAGGGAATAATATATCGGCATGAACAAATAATTGCAAACCTGATCTGGTGATGCTACACTACTGCCAGGATCAGCAAATTCAGCTACAAGTTCATCTGCTACCTGGAATAACTTTCACTCTCAGATAACGATGTGGGCTTTTAAAATAAACTGTTAATAGGTAAAAGGAAGAGCAACCAATGACGATTGTCAAGTGAGAAGTGAAGCCTTGAAACTTCCAACTCCTATAAGCAGACAAAGTAATAATTTTCCAAATCTTTGAAATGTTAAGAAATGAAGGCTCAACTTCATATGTGTACAAGTGTGTGTTTGCTAGCATGAGAAGGAAAAACTTGCATGAATCACATTACTATATGATATCAATTTGAAAAGAAAAACAGTATCATTCTGCTTGAAAGTTTGAAAGGGTACAAGAATTATATGTATACATAATGGAACTTGCTTGATGCTTAAAATAACAAAAACCACTTAATCATGAGATATACATGCCACTATAGATTAGTAAGCAATTAAAGTGGATTGGATTGATGAGAAAGGAATCACCACGACATCAATTTGTCAGGTCTACTCTCCATTGATGTCTCATATACACAATAGAAGCATTCTACAGGGCAATTTTGGAGTGATATAGCATTAATTCTATATCTTGATATCATAGTCTTGCGATTTAGACTCGAGGCATGCAAACCCAGACCGACAAAAAGTAATTGTCAAACGCCCAACTAGTTTGGACCCTGGTTACCCAACAATCCATATATCTAATCCACTAATAAAGTATCAATGATAAAGAAAATTTTCCTTTGCATATATCATATAACACAGAAAGAATGAATTCAGGGAAAATTCAGATCATTTTGCCAAAATGGACAGTTTACCAGAAACAACAAACATGAATGAAAGAATGACTTTCAGAAACCACCTGACCTCATTGTATGTGGTTCTTCCCTTGCTTTCCACTTTTTCACAAACTGGATGAAACCAAAGACAGTTCAAACAAGAAATCAGTTAGCTAAGCCACAACTGCTAACTCATCTACAATGTCCATGGCAGAACAACAAACAAAATGTGATTGAGCTTTTAATGCAATCCGTTCTTAACCATAAATTAAAACCTTTCAAAGGTAAGGAAAATGGAAAGGAGGGAACAAAACCTTTCATGCTAAATTGGCGGAGTCCTCTGCCGCTCTTATCACCTCCAATTACACGTTGACCTCTCTTCTTATTTTTACTACTGCAAATGAAACAGGCAACCAGTTAAATTCATGGAATACTCAAGCATTATAACATAGTATGACCAGTCCCAACAACTGCATTATTTTGATAGTAGTCAAGGATAAAGCGCCATGGACAACACAAATGCAGACACCAAAAAATTAAAAGATTCACCAATTTAAACAATCTTTCCAATTGTAGCCCACAAACAATGTTCATTTCATGCATCATGCGATAATATTTACCAAATTCTAGCATAAACAAATACAAATTTACATCATGAAAGCACAACTCAAGATTTTTCTTCAATCTACCCTAAACCTCACCCCCTTTCTTCAAAAACCCACAATCAAATCAAACATTAAACAGAATTATCATAAACTCAAGATAAAAGGGTATCCCAAAAAGACAAGCACTCACCCAACAGTACCATGAGATCCAGCATCATCTCCGTGAATACCGAGATGGTTCGATCTTAAAAAAGTGTTCTCACTAGCTGGTGTAGCCATAGCTTGCTCACTCCGGCTCGAGGGAGAGCCAACACTACCACTAGTCGAAACGGATTGACCTGAAACGGTCGTGCCCCACGACCTAGAAGCTCCTCTCTTAGTTGGGTTTTTCTCCCCATCTTCTTGGCGGTTATGGTTCTGAACATGGTTATTCCCAGGTACCATACCTTAAAAACCAAACTCAAAAATTAAAATTAACAATTTAGTGAAAATTTGGAGGTTTTGTAAGAAACCCAGAAGAGAACTGACCTTAATGACAAGTGGATACTGGACATGAAGAGAAGTTAATGACCATAGTCAGTAATTGCTTGGAACAAAAAATATATATTATTTCTTTCTGTTTGATTCTATTTCTGTAAGAAAACAAAACAACTGAACTTTGAAATTGAGGAAAAAAAGGAAAGAGGGATTTTCTTTTTATTTTAAGGAATGGCGCTTCAAGGCTTGAAGAGCTGTGAAGATTGTGAAAGAGAGGGAAAGTTTATTTTTGTGAGGGTTTGCTTTTGTTTTATGTTGGTAGCCTTTTCCTTTTTATTTTTCTCTTTTTTTTGAGTGGTGATTGGATAGGGGAATAAAGGTTGGGTTGGCATGGACTGGTCTGAGGGCCCAAATTTTGGGATTGGGGATACGGGTGAAAAAAATTAAAACAATTTGATCGGTTCGATTTATATTAAATTTATATCAAATTTTAAATTAAAAAATTAAAAATTAAAAAAGTTTAATCTAATTTAATTATATATTTTTTAATTTATACATATTGTAAATTTTTATAAAATAAAATAATAATTTTATATCAAAATTTATTTAAATATATTAAAATTTTATATTAAAATAATATATAAAAACAAAAAATTAAACTTTAAAAATTAATAACTCAAATTAAACTAATAAAATTTGATTTGATTCAAATTATATAAAAATTTATTTTGAATTCAAACTAAATTTTGAAAATTTATAATATTATATAATATCTAAAAAAAATTAAATTGAATTTGATTCAATTCAAATTGTTATTTTCGAATATATATATACTTATACTTATGCCGATTGAAATTTTATATTAATACAAAAGTTCATGAATTTTGTCATTTCTTAATAAAAACATCCATGTCTAACATATGTTTTGTTTGATTCAAAACAATTATCCTTAAAAGAATATGAATATAACAATACTAGTGTTTTGGGCATTGCTTTGGTCTTTGCTCGTATGTTACAGTTCAAGGATCTAGATAGAAGTGGAGATTTCACTTTGTCGGAAGCTTCGACTTCACGAAAAGCATGGTGCTCAAAAAGACTTTGGAATACTGAAACAGTGAGTACTTTACCCCCTGGACTAACCATGATTGAAACTTCAGAGTGGGGCACTGGGATTTTCATTCTCCATTATTTCACAATAAATCAAGACAGACAGGCAAGAAAATCTGAAGCTTCTAATTACTTTTTCTTTTTCCCACATGAATGCTGGAAGTGTGTCAGTCTTCTGTTTGATACCCTATCCGATCAATTCCAACAAGCGGCTGACACGTAACATTCGACAAAAGGGTCCTTCAAAATCATGATTCCTACTCAATTCTGGCCTTGTAAAAATTGGATCTGGACAATCGAGTTCTTGCTCTTGTATGCTGGACGTTAGACCATTAAATTTGATGAGTCATGGCTTGATATTAAAGCTAGAGACTCTTGTTAGAAATATTGACTCAAATTTCTTAAGAGATTTGTTTGAGATTTGTTAGAGATTTATTTGAGATTTGTCAGATATTGCTTGATGGACAAGAAGACTTACAAAAGAAGAATTCTAAGAGAAAGAAGATTCTTAATAGGTAAGTTTGACTTGTAAGAGAAGAATTCTAAAAGAAAAGGAATTTTTAATAGGCAAGTTTGACTTACAGGAGAAGAATTCTAAGAGGAGAGGGATTCTTAATGGTCAAGTTTGTATGGTTATAAATAAGTGAAGTCTCTACAGGGTTAGGTATGAGAAAAAAAATGTAAGAGAGTTGTAGGATTTTGTGGGATAGACACCCCATAGGAGTATTGGGACTCTACGTCTTATGGGTGTGTATGTTTGTTTGTGAGTGGACTAGAGGAGACTGAGATGACTAGAGGAGACTGAGAGGGTCCACATAAGTATGATGTATGAGAGCATATGGGTATGTGTTTGGTTATGTTAAAAGAGTGCATAAGAGTTTGGGTTTGTGTTTATTTGGGTAGAGAATACTTCATAGGACTAGAGGAGATTGAGAGTGTTTTATGAGTATTGATTGTTGAGTGGGGTTGATGATATGATGTATGTTTGTAATTCTCTACAACTAATGGATCTTGTTTCTCATCCGTGGATGTAGGTCAATTGGACTGAACCACGTTAAATTATTGTCTCTTGTGTGTTTGATTTATTGTTTGATTTCGCTTCCGTTGGTGTGATTGGATTAGAGGCTTTTAGCCCAACAAATGATATCAAAGTTGTGGTAATCCCCAACAAATGGTATCAGAGCTGTGGTGTTCCCCAATAACTCTCTTCTCTCTTTCATTGTCTAATGCATCCATAACATTATTAAATCGCTATGTCTCTAGCAAAAAGTTGTGAGAAATGAGAATATCAAATCTAAAAGCTATGGTGTAATACAATGCCACAATCCAATCTGGTTGGAAGAAATCCAGAATTCGAGTTGGAGAAAGCAATTAGTATGTTGAAATTTACAAGTCAATACCTTATTCTTTTTACAGGCAAGCTTTTGATCATTATATTTACAAACATGATCCCTGTAAATATGTTGATTTATTTATTCGTATTGTATAAAATATTAAAATTTATATATTCATGTTATGTATTATTTGAAATTTATGTGTTATAATTTATGTCATAACGAAAACATAAAATGTATTCTTTTGATTTTATCAAAAATATATGTAATTATTATTAAAATTTTAAATCATATGATTTTCGTATCTTTTATTTATGTTGTATTAATATCATATCATATTTATGTTGTATTCATATCATATCACTATCGTATTATATGTTAAATCGTCACGTCTAGATCCTTGTTTATAAACTGGTAATGGGATTGAGAATTTTTGTGCTACATTCTGCAATATGTTCTCTACGAAATATGTTCATAATTAAACACAACTTAAAACTTAAAAAAAAGGGTAACCATGATCTCTAATCTCCTTCCCTGCCTTCCTAATGAACAGAGCCTCTGATTCTAGCGCCGGACCTGCCGCCAGCGCTTCTGCTCCTGCTGCCATTGTCGGTTGCCGACGAATGCACCGAAACTATGGCAGAAAAGGTTCTACGGTTTTCGGAGATTAAAGCCTCCGCTGCAGATAGCGTGGTTTATTTAGTTGGGTTTGGGCTTAAATGGGTTTTCAAAGTTAGGGCTTTTTAGGCCCAACTAATACAGAAGATTGGGCTCTTACAATTTTCAGTAGATTGGGTTTTTATTGGATTTTGTTAATAAGCATTTTCATGGCACTCTTTAAAGTTAATTAAAATATTATTTATAATAATATTTTATTAATATAATAATACATAATTAATGTTACAAATTTTAATATATTATTAAAAATAAATTATTTAATATAATAATTATAACACTCGTTAACAAAATTCATTTATATTTGAGTTAGGGTTAGTAAGGATTCTAGATGCAAAATCCCTAATCTTCAAGGCCTAAAATCATAGACTTGATGATTATGATCTGATTTAAGGATTGAAAATTTTCAAATTTGGATGCTATGAACAGGAACTAAGAAGGAAATATTGAATGTGTGTTACTTTTTGGATGGGTGCAAAAGTTGGTTATGCAATTAATATGATAAATTCAAACTTATATAAAGTGTATATAGTCAAATAAATCTCAAGTGGGTTGCAATAATTGAGAGTGATTGGTATGTGCACTTGTCACACTCATTGAATTTTAATGTGTGTTACTTTTTTATTAGTGCTAGTATAGTATGTAGGTTTTTGTCGTGCTTTTGCTTTCAATCATGGTGGATATTAACTGAGAGCATTTATAAGGGAAGGTAGTAACTAAAAACTCAACTTCCTAACGTGCCAAATATTTTGAATTGAAGACTTAGCTTAGTTAGGTCGATTATTCCTTGATATGTCATTAAAGTTGACATTTAAATGTTACATGTTCGAGATAATTTAGGCACATAATATCTTCTTCAACTAAGTATATAATAAGATAAAAAGGGTTTAAGAGCATATTAAAAATTTCAAAAAATGAAAATAAAAATAGCTTAATTAGATTATATAATTATTTTAAGTTCAAATTTTCAATATCTGTAATTTTTTAAAATCTAAAATCATATGTTATATATACATTTACTTAATCACATAATAAATAATAACATTCACATTCGTTACATTAAAATTTTATTTTCGAAATATTTTTATAAAGAATTAAATTCTGAGTTGACAGAGAAATAGAGTTCTTATCTTTATGGCTTTATCAACTAAACTATCCCCTTCAAAATGAAATCTTAAGCACTAACATCCAATATTACCACATTATAAATATATATATATATATATATTTGTCAAAAACATCAAAGAAAATAGTCAAAAACAAAATGCTTAGCTGATGGTTTGATGTTTGAATCTTATTTCAAATGGGATGGTTTTCAAAAAGCAAAAAATATAAAAAAAAAAATCTCTCCTTAAATAAAGAAGTCTAATTTTGAGAGTGAAATCTAACCTTATAACTAATACATGAATAAGCTTAACGCTATGCAGTTCTTTTGATTCATTGAATCAAAGCAAACATGAAACAAATTTGGTTCTGTTGTTGTTTTCCATTTCTTTTTCTCAAATCCATTATTGGTTATGAAATTTCACACATCCTCATGTTTCCTTTCTCCAATCATCCCGAATAGTTTTTTTGCAACAAACGATGCTGTGCTTTGGTTAATGACAAATCCCACCAATATTTTTTTATTATGGATAATATCTCATTTGATCCTTAAACTATAGTAAATTTTTTAATGTAATATTTAAATTAAAAAAATTTTAATTACGTACTTATACTTTAATTTTGTATATTAAATTGTCTTAACTTTTATACTGATAGAATAATATAAATATAGCATTTAAATATTGAAGTGGATGACATTTGATTATCAAGCAGTTGCCATATGTTATTTTTAAGAATAAAAATTAATAAAAAATCTTTTTAAAAATATGTTAAAATTTGTTTAAATCATGTGTCATTTATGTTAGTATTTAAATGTTATATCAATATTATTTTAACAGTATTAAGAGTTAAGGGTAACTTAATACATAAAAAAATATAATTTAAATATCTAATTAATAAATTTTTAATTTAAATATAATATTAAAAAATATACAATAATTTAGAAACCAAATGGAACATCATCCTTTTTTGTTATTATCACTTTCGAGTTTGACAAAAGAAAAGATTATTTTGCCATGGCGGGCCTGGCTGCCTGCCCGAAGGTCCCCACGAGGATATCATTGAGAGAGAAGGTTGTCAATATCACGATAAAAAATCGAGGTCCCTACGTCTTTTTTGGCAACCCTAAATCTATCCCTACCCCCTCCTCCGCTAAAGACCTTAGCCTTCGCCAGTTTCTCACCGGTGGTGGGCGTTGAGATTTTGGTTAATTACATCACCGATTTTGTAAGCATCCTTCTCCAAAGTCAGAACATCCATCTGATCTCTCTTTGAGTTTGTGATGAGACTGTATAGCTTGCGAGCCATCCTGAATGGACACCGTGATGTTGATATTCAGCATCAAGGCAGTTTTGTTACGCAATTGTTAACCTCTCTAAGTGTGAATTCTTTGACAAAAATTGACCGCATGGATTTGTTTGCTTTCATAAAATCGAAAGATAATTTGAGTTTGGATTAGTATTCTCTGCCCAACACCTTCGACCCCCTAACTTCAGCTGGATTCTAGGCCTTGTATGCCTAAGTTTCCTAACAATGCAGCTAATATGTAGCCTATGGGTCAAATTCAAGCCTTTGTTTTCTCACCCTTCCCTATCAAGAAAAATCCAATATTAGACTAAGAAATCATGATTTCTCTTGAAGGAAAGAGTGATAACTACACAATTTCAAACCAATTTAATACATATATATTATATATATAGTTCACGTTTGGCGCATAAATTTGATAAAATAATATATAATCATTTTATATTAGATTTGATTTACATCTAATTGAAAAAGATAGGATTACAAAGAGAATTATTATTCTCTTGATATATAATGATTCAATATTCTCATAGAGAATTATTTTTAATCAATGGGACTAAATTTATATGTTTATTATACCTTTAAAAATTATATCAATAATTTAAATTGTGTGTGTAAACTTTGAGAAATGATAATTTTGATCAATAAATAAATTATTTTATTTTAATCATTACATTTATCAAATATAAGATAAGATGATATTATTTAATCTAATTATATTCATAATATCATTTTAACTTATCCTATCATAATTTTGTATATAAAATATGATCATAGGTTATAAGAATATATATATATATCTCCCGTTGAGATAAAAAAAATTAAAATTATGTGTGTTTTAGATCAAATTTTAAAAATTTTCATCAATCAAATTTTATTTGTTATTGAAACTAGTATTTATTCTACAATTTGTTATTGTTATCCTAGCGAGAATATTTTCAGCCATAGACATTTTAAAAACTTGTGTAATGAAATGAAATACCAATGGTTGAATAATAGCTTAATTGTGTACATTAAAAAAAATATGTTCAAAAATATTTATAACAAAATTATTATACAATGTTTTCAAAATATAAAATTGGGTTAAGACATTTGTAAAATTTTTAACAATATGATTGAATATAAAAGTTTTAATTTTTTTAGTATTATTATTTGTTATTGGTGTTTTTTATAATTTAATATATTTAAATTAAGCCCCCCACTAAATAAAATTTTTTATTCCACCACTAATATATATATATATATATATAATGGATTCATTTACATTAGTGTAGGTATTACATTTTTTTTTTATTTTTGAATCAAAATGGCTAAATGTAAGTGTTATGAATTTAATTTTGATTCAAAGACTAAAAATTGTATAATACTTACACTGGTGTAAATAAATTTATACTCATATATAATTTTTTTTTGAAGAAAAATATATATTTATTATATATATACATCATGTGGAAAACAAATATATATAATTAATTGTATTACAATAACATAAAATTTTGAAGAATTAGACATTATAATAAAAATGTTCTACATACTTCTAGGCAAATCACAGTTTAATCCAAATTTAAAACGTTAAAGATAGCTTTGCTAGATCAAAATTTTCATAAATTATAACAAGTTTGTTAACCGATGTTCTAAAAGTATTTTTTTGTAATTATTACATTAAGTAATTTATTTTTAATGTATTATATTTTATAATATTAATTATCAATTATTACATTTAATATAAATAATATTATTATAAACAATAATTTTTAAAAATAACTTAGCCCATTCATTAGCAAAAGTCATAAAAATTTTATTGTAATTTCTAAATAAAAGATAATCATTACTTAATCCAATTTTAAATCTTCTCTAGGGTAATCAAATTATCTTAGGTTACAGAATTATTTTCATAAATTAAATATGACATTCATGGGGGTAGCCAAGTCATTTCACACCAAAAAGGCCGATTATGAAGGGTGATGAACCGGAGCCGTCGTTTCTCTACAACCATCGGTCCAATACGACGGCTAAACCAATAATAAAAACGGTTTGCTTTTTAAACAAACAGAAAAACCAATCCATAGCCCACTCTTCCTGACTTCATCACTAAAACCAATCATCATCATCAGTTCATTCCTCAACCATCTTACATAACATACATCATCATCATCATCATCATACATAACCATCGAGGCCACTCTTCTCTTTATATTCTCCCCTTTGCCACCAATTCTTGTCTTCAAACAGCTCTTCACTAGCCCTCTCACTCTCCCAACTATAAACCAACCAAAGCCCATAATAAAATTAACATTCGGTCAAACAATGGGTGAGGTTAGTTACGACACATTCTCTCTGGTTTTTTCCTTTCAAATTTTCAAAGATTTTAGGTTTTTGTTTTGTTTTTTGCTTAAAAATTTGTATGGTTCTTTGTTTTCCAGCAACAAGGAGCTAAACCTGAAGCCGAGAAGAAGCCCGCCGCCGATGCCGGCACTAAGAAAGATGACGGCAAGGTCACCGCCGTCTACAAGATTGATATGCATTGTGACGGTTGTGCTAAGAAGATCAAACGCGCGATTAAGCATTACGATGGTAATTAATCTTAGTTAATCTATTAAATGATCATAATTAAGTTTTGGAATCCGTCAAATTTGAATAAAAAATCGAGGAATTGGATAAGGATTGGCGAACTGGAAATCTAACTGAAATCACCTAACTCGGACGTTGTTGTTGGTGGTTCAAGGTGTGGATGAAGTGCAGACGGATCGTGGAGCCAACAAACTAACGGTGATTGGCAAAGTGGACCCCGCCAAAGTCAGGGATAGATTGGCTGAGAAAACCAAGAAGAAAGTCGACCTTATTTCTCCTCAGCCTAAGAAAGATGACGCCCCAGCCGCCGCTGGCGGTGGTGGTGATAAAAAACCTGACGCTGAGAAGAAACCTGAAGAGAAAAAACCACCTAAAGAGGTAAATTTACAAACACTCCGGTGACGTTTTAATTAATGATAAAACGAGATTAATTCCAGCTTAGCATAATTAATTGTGATTAATTTTATTTGGTTTCAGAGTACGGTAGCTTTGAAGATTAGAACACATTGTGACGGTTGTATCCGCAAAATTAAGAAAATCATCTTGAAATACAATGGTAAGTTAATTATGATTTATTTGAATTAAGATTAGATTATAAGCGTAGATGACGTAATCTTGTTTAATTAATCAAGGTGGAGTATTATTAAAGAAGGGTTAATCCTGATTTTGTTTTATCTTACAGGAGTTCAATCGGTGAACGTGGATGGAGCGAAAGATTTAGTAACCGTAAAAGGTACAATGGACGTCAAAGACCTCATTCCTTATCTCAAGGAGAAGTTGAGACGAAGTGTCGATGTATTTTCACCCAAGAAAGATGACGCCGGTGAGAAAAAAGACGGCGGAGAGAAGAAAGACACCGGAGGTGATAATAAAGAGAAAGGAAAAGAAGCTGCTGCGGTTGGCGAGAAGAAGGAAGGAGGTGGAGAAAAGAAAGAAGGCGGCGGGGAGAAAAAGGAAGGCGGCGGAGAGAAGAAGAAAGATGGCGGTGAGAAAAAAGAAGATGGCGGTGAGAAAAAGGAGGGCGGCGGGGAGAAAAAAGAAGGTGACGGTGGTGAAGCTAAGATGGAGGTAAGCAAGATGGAGTATCATGGATATGCATATCCCTCACGGCCAATGTATTGGTCGGACGGACACGTGTATGGTAATCCGAGTTACGCAATTGAGGGATACCAGAATCAATATGGCGAGTACGGATACATGAATCATCCTGGGGACATGAATCATCCTGGTTACATGAATATGAATCAAGGGTATAATATGCATCCTTGGTATGCAAATCAAGGATACATGACGGACCCGCGGTATCAGCACCATGCGCCTCAGATGTTCAGTGACGAGAATCCGAACTCGTGCTCGGTCATGTAAGAAAGGAGGGGGAACTTACCGTTGGATTAGGAAGACACTAATCCTGTAAATATCAGAACTTTCTAGGGAGAGATAAGTAAATAGAGTCCTCGAAGAAGGACGATGTAAACGGATCGAATAGGTTAGAAGTTTTTAAGGATGAACCAGCCGATGCTGGCTGGTTATTGGGTGGTCGTTGGTTGTTTCTTTTTGTTCCTTTTTATGTCTAAATTTTATTTTCAGGATATTTTCCCTAAAAATCAAATATTGATCTATAAACTTAAAAAAAAAAAAAAAACTCTTTTATTCTTTTTTAATTCATTAAATAAAAAACAACAAAACACTTGAATATTCATAATATTTATGGAAAATAATTAAATAATCATTTAATCAAGCACTGAAAATTTATTTCGATAAACTTAAAAATTTAATCCATAAAAATGGTGTTTACGAAAAAATTTTAAGGATGCATTAAAAAAAAAATTTACTTCAAATCTTTAATTTTTTTTAATATTTTAACGATATTCATAAACATTCTAAATTAAACTATGAATCCGCCCATGTAAATGACCTTTATAAAGTGCAAACAGCTCCGCTATCAAAATAAATCAGATGGAAAATGCACGTTTAACCTTAGCGAAATGCCAGCACCTTTTCATGGCAATTAAGCGAAATTTTTAAGCTTTTTAGCCACTCACTCACTGTCATGTTTATAATGTGATGATTGCAATGTTAATTTGAAGCTAATTTCAACTAAATAAATGGGTAAAGACAGATCCACCATACATGCTCATATTGATAATTTAATTTAATTTTATGTGAAGATTAATCTTAATTATGTGGAAATGAGATCACTTAATTTGGATTTTTGAAGCATCATAAGCCCAAAAAGATTAAAAAAAAACTTAATGAAAATAAATCACAGAATTCTTTTCTTTTTTTATTTTAATTTCCTTCTTTTTGTAATTGTTACGTTTGATTTCATGTCTCCTACATCATCTTCACAGTAAAAGCCAATAATGCTCGATTCGCAATAGGAAAAGGAACCCTTACCTCTTTTTTGCCTTCCTCTCATGATCATAACTTTAGGAATTTAGTATGTCAAATAGGAAAAAGATTTGATTGTGAAGATCAAACTCTTTTTCATTTTTCAAAAGGTGTTTAATTCCTTTTTTTTATGGTATTTATTAAATAATTTCAAGTCTTTAACAAATGGAAGAACCGATTAAGAGTCATCCTCTCCATCATCATTATCATTATAACAAGAAACTCAATCATATAACATTTTTAAAAGCCTACTGACACCATTTTTTTTTTTTAAAGAAAATTTTCGAGAAATATTACATGACTACTTACGTATGCATTATGCAATATGAAATATTGTTACTTGCATACAAACAATGCATCAAATACGTACATTTATACTTCGATATTGTACGTATAATACTGTTCAAAAGTGTCAGTACATTGTTGTTGAGTGTATGTATAAGGTACATAGTAACGTATTGTCATATCAAATATTAATATACCATATATTAGAATTGAAAGTCGAAACAAAGCATCTATGATGTATGTTGTTTCCTATTCTCCTATATATTGTTGCCGAACTCAAGTCCTTTTTGTGTTTGTTCTGGAGACAATTGTAGTATATGCTGTGTTATCCTTTTTTTCTTTTATTTATTTAAACGATCTGTGAAAAAAATATCGTATCATTTTGAGATTAAATCTTTTTGAAATAATAGATGATTTGATGAAAATCGTTCTCATCAACCTTCCGAACAAAGCTAGACTATAATCCTTACATATTCTAAGTTGACATAATGAAATGAATGACCAAAAAGGAAGAAGAATAAAAAAAAAATAGAGAAAATTAAAGGAAAAACTTATATGAAGTGTTTTAGGATGAAGTTTTGTGAAGTTTTTTACTAAAAATAATTTAATAAAACTAAAATCAAAAATCAAAATCGATAAATTGATAGAGTTCAATGAAAAAAATAATAATATATAAAAAATTAAAAATCTCGTTTATAATTTAATTTGATAAATACTTATATAGTGATAAAATTCTGTCAAAATTTTTATCAAAAAAATACTTATCTAAAAATATATCAAAATTTATTATTATTTTTTAAAAATTTACACGATTTATGTAATAAGATATTTTAATTTATCCATTTTAATTTTTGATTTAATTTTTATTAAATTATTTTTAATAAAAAAATTCACAAATTTCACTTAAATCTTTCAAAAACTAAAACCTAAATCCAAGTCTACCATGAGTCATAAGTATGCTCAAATCGTTGCTATATATGCATGCATATATATATATATATATATATATATATATGACATCTTTCAATCTTTCAATTTGATTTTCGATTTTAGTTTTCATTTACTTATTTTTAATACAAGACTTCACAAATTTCACCTATAAAATTTTATGTAAGTATTTTCTATCTTTTGTGTATGTTTAGGGGATGTGAGAGACATGCAATTCATTTTTCCTCTATGCGAAAGACTATACCACCAAACTTGTCTTTAAAAAGCATATTGGATGATGGAAGCAAAGAAGTGAGTTTCTTATCCTCCAAATGATTGACTACTTTGTTGTCCCATTTTCAATAAAAACAATTCAAAACATCTACGTATCCTTGAGAATGCATAGAAAACTATATAGGGTCATTTTGTTCTTTTATACGTTGTTTCATTCAATTCATTCAAGCTTTTACATATAATCAATCCAAAAAGCAGCCTTGCATCTTTTTTTATTTTTTTTTGTGTTCATGTTGCTGCTTGGCAAAGGAAAGGTAGGAGAGTTTACTTTTTCAGCCATTATAATACTTAATGATCTGTTTATTTATTTATGAAAGTCTCATCTTTCGACCTTTAAAGGCCTCTTTCAAGGCTTGGCTTTTGACCTTTTGCAAAGTTACTTGCATGCTGGGCCACAGCCATTTCACTAATTACTTGCAAAAGCACTGTGCATCAAAACCATTTTCATAGTCAAATGATTGTTCTCATGCATCTAGATAAAAGGTATGCCTTTTATCCAAGCATCTGGATTCATCCCATGCATGAGAACAACCATTTGACTATGAAAATGCGTTTTGATGCACAGTGCTTTTGCAAGTAATTAGTGAAATGGCTGTGGCCCTGCATGCAAGTAATTTTGCAAAAGGTCAAAAGGAAAGCCTCGAAAGAGGCCTTTAAAGGTCGAAAGATGAGACTTTCATAAATAAATAAACAGATCATTTAGTATTATAATGGCTGAAAAAGTAAACTCCCCTACCTTTCCTTTGCCAAGCAGCAACATGAACACAAAAAAAAAAAAAAAAAGATGACAAGGCTGCTTTTTGGATTGATTATATGTAAACGCTTGAATGAATTCAATGAAACAACATATAAAAGAACAAATGACCCTATGGAGTTTTCTATGCATTCACAAGCGTACGTAGATGTTTTGAATTGTTTTTGTCGAAAATGGGACAACAAAGTAGTCAATTATTTAGAGGATAAGAAACTCACTCCTTTGCTTCCATCATCCAATATGCTTTTTAAAGACAAGTTTGGTGGTATAGTCTGTCGCATAGAGGAAAAATTAATTGCATGTCTCTCGCATCCCCTAAACACACACAAAAGATAGAAAAGACTTACATAAAATTTTATAGGTGAAATTTATGAAATTTTTTATTAAAAATGAGTAAATAAAAACTAAAATCGAAAATCAAAATGATAAATTAAAAAATCTTGACATATAGGTCAAGTATATAACTTTTGAAAAATTTGAATAAATTTTGATATATTTATTAAATAAATATTTTTAGTAAAACTATTAACACAATTTTTACTGTTAAATAAGTATCGATCAAATTTGAATTATAAATAATATTTTAAATAATTTTTTACATATTATTGATTTTCACATTGAATTCTATTAATATATAAGTTTGAATTTTTTATTAAAATTTTTATTTTTTCATTTTTAATAAAAAATTTCATGAACTTTACCTATGAAGCTTCATGTAAGTTTTGTCCCACAAAGGATTAGTCAATTTACTCTTTAGACATTACTTGCCTTACACAACCAAAAACTTTGTTTAAATACACACATTTCCTCATCAAGCAAAAGCATGTTTTGTTTTCTTGATTTACAGATGTGGGTTTTAGTTTTCTAATTTTGGGAAGCTTAATTCTTTAATCGTTTTATGAAACATGAAATTCAAGGTTGGTTTTTTTTTTTTTTATAATAAAATCATAATCTGGGATAGAAAAAAAAATATCGTTGCTAGGATTTAAACTTAAATTTGTAAAATATATTTTTTTATTGAATGCATGAATCGATTATATTAAATCTTGATTAAAATTTAAGATTAATTTTCATCGACAAACAAAAAAAAAAAGAGTGATCATATTCATCATTAAAAAAGCAATAATCTATAACTTTATAATTATATTCATTCTAAACTAATCTGCATTTAATTTTGCAAGTAATTTTCTAGGATATGACATATATATTGTTTGTACCAAGCTCCGATCTTAGGGTGTTTCTGGAAAAACAAAAGAGAAAGGCGATAAGAGGCAAAGGCAATGTGTGTTCCTTACATTTACACTTTAACCCGTAAGTCAGACAGAATGAGGTCGGGAAGGAAGTAGGAAGTAGGAAAGAGGAAATGAGTCTAGGACCAACTTACTTTAGTGGTGCCTAGACCTTTATATTTATAGGTAAGCAATAGAGAATCATCATGGGATAAAAGGACAGTGTCAAGCTGATATGGCACTGAACATGTCAGATCGACCTAACATGTTAGGTTAGCCCAAATGATAGAAATACCCTTAATTGTCTACTGAAAGCTTTTAGAAAGAAAAATGACCACTATGTCCTTTAGACCACCAAATGCCCCTAACATTCTATCCTTTTGCCAAGTAGTCTGAGTATTAGGCTACTAGATGTTTAGTCAACACATCTAGTGTAGGGTAGGTGAAAAATAAGGAAATAATGTGAAATTTGATTCTTCGAGGCTGACGTCATGGAGAAGGTAAATATTTAGTGATAAATAATCTTAGGTCATGGTTCGATCTGGTGAGAATCTGATCTTACACATATGCCTTGAACTAAGTGTATGGCCAGCTTGAAGGTTGTCGAGGTGTAAATTATTCGGAGTGATTTTGAAATTAATGGCAAAGCTCGTCTAGTCGACATGAGACTTGTGTTTTATTTCAGGGGTTTATGTTTAGACCTTTAC